TAAGTGGGAAAAAGCTGTGTGATTGGACTTTTCTTTATACATTTTGACACACTGAAGAAATTCAGGTGATTCAACCCCGTGGAAGAGCTGGGAAGGAGTGAACTGAGGAAACTGAAAAGTGTAAACCATTTGTTAAGTTGAGTTAAAGAGAAATAAATGAAACATCCGGAAGAGGCATAGCACGTGGAACTAGAAAATCTACCCCGGTGAACGAAATAAAGGGTTCGGTTCGAAATTCCAATCACCTGAAGTAGGCGGGAGCGTATAACGGCCGAAACATTGTGAATAAGGCAATGAAGATGAGGATAACAGTCCTAATAATGTAAATAATAGTAATCATAATACCTCATCTCAGACATATAGACAGAGGCACAGCAATTTAAAAGAAAAAAATGGCTATTTTAAATCACTTTTTACTGTGATATAATATTTATTAATGGTGTTTTTTTTTATTGCAGTAATTTATACATTCGCTTTCTGGCCATGAAACGTGGTTTCAAATCACACCATAATCGGTTGTAGGGAAAGTGAATTCTGGAAGAAGCGATCACGTCGTGTGGCAAACCATAGCACTGGTTGACCCAAGCCTTGTAAGTGAAATTGGGTAGATGGAGCCCTTTGGGAACCATCGATGGTTGTGCGAGTAAGAAGTCAAAAGTTTGAGCGTGCTGATCTTGTTCAAATTGTTGATCATGCAAGATAATACGCTCTCTCCCAGAAACTGTAACTAAGGTCTGCTCAGCATAGTTGCAGTATAAACCACAGGTGGGCCCTGTGGGTGTTGAATAAACACAAATATACACTATTTACATTATTCGGACTATTGTCCTCATCTTTGCCACCATGTTTATCACAAAGTTTCGGTAGTTATACGCTCCGGCCTTCTTCAGGTGGTTGGAATGTCGAACTGAACCCTTTATTTCGCTCACTGGGGTAGACTGTTCTAGTTCCACGTGCCATGTTTAATGGATGTCAGTTATCTCTTGTTAATTCCCCTCTCCAAGTTCTCCACTGCCTCAACCAGGTATTGAACTGACGCGCTTTGGGTCCTGTCACTGGATCTAACTAACGCCTTTATCCACTCTGCCTTGAAGACATCTGTGTATGAATTTCTGGGTATTATAAACTTAATGTCTTCAGCAACCATTTTTACCAGAGCTCATATTGCAATTTTTGTTGTTATTATCGCTTTTCTGTGGTACTTCTTATTACTAGTTCCCATATTGAATTCATTTCTATGTTGGTCGGCTCAGGTGATTTGTGTGGCCTAGCATATATGCTGATTCCTTAAGTTTACGAATTTTCCAATGATGTTCTTTGTCTATGTACATAATACCTCATCTCAGAAATATTGACAGATACTGAAACACAAATGTGTCTGAGCAGACGTCTGCAAAAGGATATCCTCGGATACGAGTGGCCAGCCATCCTATTTTCATGAACAAATATTTATTGTTCTGAAATCGTAAAAATTCTATAGTGGTCACGATATATAGCGAGTAAAATTTAAGAAGGCAAATTGGCGTCTCAAACAATTAAGAATGAATGAAACCAATTACATTTCGAAAAGAACGTAGATGTTTGACAAGGTTGCTACAGTTCAATGGTGTGCTAAACTGTACATTCCATCATATGCGCTCAAATTGATGCCGACGTTTGTTGCGATTCAGATTCGAGTTTAAACCTAATAAGCGTGACTAAAAACAATCCCTAGTTAATAAATTTTTTCGACAGAAATAAGTGTTTAATAATTAAAGTTGTCCTGTCAGCGTTTGTTCTTTTCTGAAGCTAGATTAATAAGCATTATGTTGATTGTGTTGCGTCATAGCTTTAAAAATGTGCTTCGTTTCATTTGATAATTCTTCAGGGAAATTGAAATATTGTTTGGCTTAATAATTTCAACCGATACAGAATTTAAAAAGAGAAATTAGGTAACCAGGTTACGGTAATTTTTCTACCGGTGATTGAAATATGGGATACGATCTTTGCCAACTGATGAACTTCCCAACCCGCTGTATCCATGGAGAGTTTTAAGTAAAAAAAAATATCATCTTTGGTGTTTGGTGAATAAATGGTTATTTAGCAGAAAATAGCGAAAGGCTCTCAAAGAAGTCCTTAAAAAAAATCTATTTTTTGTTTGATCAGATATTGGGAAATGATTCCGGTAAAGAACTTTTCGGGTTTCCTTTATAATTTACAGAAAACCTATTTTTTTAGTTTTTTTTTTTTTTTTTTTTTTTAAACAATACTAGATTTTTTTTAATTCAACATATGTAAATTCACAAAAAGGAAATTTATAATTTAAAACTACAAATACTATATCTATTTTCTTTTTTTCCAAATGCGTTCTTCAAATATATAAAATAGTATTTCGTTCCTGAAATCCAAATAGAGTGAAATTTCCGATGATATAAGCCGTTTCCCTATAAGGAAACATTGGGCATTTATTGACGAAACCGATGGCATTACTATCGTTTGAAATTTATAAAATCATTTTATTAAACAGTTTTTCAGGCAAAAAAACTTTTCTAGTCCACAAAATTATCACTCTTTCCCGTATTGGCGGGAGTTTACGTCCACATTTTTAGTTTAAATTAGCGTGGAAAGTCCACATATTGATTAAACTATTATTTGCCATTTTTATTTAAATATACTATTCATTTTTGTTGTTGCTGTTAGATGTCTTTAAATGATGTGGTTTTTGTTATTTGGTAAGGCTCTTTTCTTGAGGTTTTGTTTTACCAATCTACGCGGTCTGATGAGGAAATGTCCTACTTAAAACCTAAAAGATTCATTCGATTGAAGACGTTTTTTTTTAAATCGCTAATCTGAGAAAACGGTTGTATATAGTTTGTAGTTTAGATATTTCTGGACGAGTTGAAAGCCGTGTATAGCTGCTAAATAAGAGTCTGATGAAGCTATTTAAGAAAGTCACTCGAGTTTTCATCGTTAGGCAAAACAACCTCGAGCGCAACTTATGTTCAAATTCCTAACCTCCTATACTAAATTTGTTGTAACTTATCCATAGATCCAGGTATTTGATGTGTTTAAAATGTATTAATTGCACATTTTGAATTTTTATGACGGATTTAGTATAGGTGCAACCACTTCCATATCATAGTTTCTTGTTCTGGAAAGGTTTATCTTGAATCTGACTTCTTGGAATATGGCACCCTTTTTATACAAGAGGATTCTTCGCTGTAAGGCTGCGCTCGAGTTAGCTTCGCCCATCTTATATTTAATTTCCTAACCTCCTATACTAAATTTGTTGTAACTAATCCATACATTCATTGAATAATATAGACATTGTGTCTAATTTTTATGCTTATACTTTCCAGTTGTCTCATAAGTTTCTTGATGTTAAGATGAAATTCATCAATGAAGGCCCCATGTTTTGTTTTAACCCAAGTACTTTCGACCTTTTCTAAGATCATCTACAGGGGTAAATTACAAAGACAAAAAAATTCCGATAAAATAAAGTACTTGGGTTAAAAACTACGACACCTTCTTTGATGAATTTCATGACATCTAGAAACTGATTAGAAAACTAGAATGGATGAGTATAAAAATAAGCAGACACAATACATCTATATTATTCAATGAAACATGTTTATGAATGAAGATATACTGCCTATACTCTGTCTCACACACTTTATATATAATGCCACACGTCGACAGTACGACTCTGATTTTCATTCACGAGGCAATCATCACGTATAAAAGAACTGCCCGTAATCTGGCTAAAATTTCTCCCATAAATATAGTAAAGATAACAATTCCGAGTGGATCCTAGTAATATAAAATATTAAAACTGATCCACAAAAAGAGCTCAATGTATTTATTATTACAGAGTAAATAATTAATAAACAATAAAATTCATATTATTATTTATTATATAATTAATAAATAATAATATGGATTTTATTGTTTATTAATATATATATATATATATATATATATATATATAAATACATTAAGCGCTTTTTACGAATCAGTATTAGTATTTTATATTACTAGGACCCACTCGGAATTGTTATCTTACCTATATATATATATATATATATATATATATATAAAATGAAGTGTGTGTATTAAGCTGTGATCCTACAGCCACAGCCAAAAGTTGTGTCCTTCATTCGTATAAGGACCTCTAAGGGTTTTAGAAAGAGAGAAAAAGAGGCAGACATAAAGGAAAAAGAAGAAAAGAAAGCGAATAGAAAAGGAAAGAAAGGATGCGGGAAGCAATGAAAATAAACAAAAAAAAATGGAAGGTAGGGAAGAAGGTAAAAAACGAAAAGAGAGAAAATAGAAAAGAGTGAAAGAAGTGGAGGAACGGAAAGAAAAAGCGAGGAGGGAGCAAAGGAGAAGGAATGAAAAGAGAGTCAGAAAGAAAATGTGAGGGTGCTGAAAATTTCATAGCTCAACCCATTTCCAAAAACCTGACCGAATGATTCCATTTTTTTTTTTTCAGTACTTTTTGGCCGGGCCCATAAAAGCGGAGAGAGAGATAAGGGGTGGAGGAAGATCAAAAATATAGAAAATAAAATTTCTTTCAAGTAAACTTGAAATTGATAAAAAAAAAAAAGCAATGAAAAAAACACTTAGAAAAAAAGAAAAAAATGAAAGCTGCTAAATTCTCTAATTAATGTCCATATTTTGTTTATTTTCTTATCTATGTTTGATTTATTTATAGGGCATTAAAATAATAAATTACTTATATCCTCCTCTTCCTCCGTGTTAGCTTTGCTACATTTAACAGCTGCAGCCAAAAAAGTAGATTTTAAACCCTTACTCTTTCAATACCTTCCTACCTCAGATTTTTCCACATGTTTCACTACGTGACCGGAACTCACGAGAACTTTGGCATTATAAAAAAGTTGTTTCGTGACGAGAAACAAACTCGTCATTAAGATTAATCATCAATAAAAGTTTTAGCTTTAGACACACACACACGCACGCCTCTTAATGTAATGTTTGTTACGCAATTTCCCAGAAGTTTCATGACGAGTCGCTGGCTTGAAGAGACATGTTTTTTTGTTTTGTTTTGTTTCTGTAGATGTACAGACTCGAAACTCTTTAGCTGTCATTGGGTGCCCTTTCTTCTCTCGTGGTTTGATGCCAGACAAAGTTTGGCGAGATTCTCGTGTCATTTCTTGCATATTTATCACCTGTTGAGTGACATCCTGGGTAAGACGATAAACTACATCCACGCCTTGGGTAAGACGATAAACTACGTCCGACAGCAAGGCCTCAGGTCAGGAGGTTTTGAGGAGAGTGTAGACACCTCTTAATTGCTGCCGTTCCCAGGTCTACTCTGACCCGGGGCTTTAGTACCTGTTAGGTTCCCAGCTATGGGCAAATAGATAACCCCAAAATGGGGTCAAAACGCCATGAAAATGTAAAAATAGGTTTCAATACCAGCGATACATTTTTGTAAAAAAAAAAATTACTAGCAATGAATTTTTGAAGGAAAAAAATATTACCAGCAATAAAAATCTTGTTGGCATTAAATAACCCATTGAGGTTGATTTGCCGTAAAAAAACCCCCCAAAAAACAACCAACTAAACTAAACCTGTTGAGTGTTTGAGACTTGCAGGGAGATTTTGTAAAAAGTTTTTATCATAAATAATAATAATAATAAAAATGTATGAGGGAGTGAGTATCGTTTTTTGGCAGTTGAGATAAAGTTTCCTTATAAAGTGACATACACAGACGTGCCAAGATTATGTGATAGATTCCTTGTATCGTGTCGGACCTTCTTTGGAAATGGTCATATTAGCCATTTCCTTATACTTAAATAGAGGGTGCGAAGAATAAATTGTCGTCTAAATAACGCAAAATGAAAATAAAACTGAAATCTCATTTTAACAGCTATATTTACGAAAATGACACAAAAATATCTTGAAATACTAAAGAGTAAATTTATTCAATAAAATCGCCCTTGACTTCAACCACAGCATCAAGACGACTTCGGAATCTCCTGCAAACTCTTCTGGATAGTCTCCTTGTTTAAGTCGGTGAATGCTGCCATAATCCTTGCCTTCAGTTCATCTTTGGTGTTACAAAGAGTTTTGTTGGTCTCTCACTCAACTGCACCCTACACATAAGAATCAAGGGATTGCAGTCTGGGGAGTTAGGTGGTCAGATGTAAGGGGTGATGTGGTCGCAGAAATTGTCAGACTGCCATGACTGGGTTCTCCTGCTTGTGTGGCATTGTGCAGATTCCTTCGCTCCAAACAGTTTTGATCATTAATCTGGTTGCATAAAGCTAATAGCTTTTATTTTTCTGAACGATTTTTGCGCCATGCAAAGTACAGTAACACGACGTGGCGTCAATTCCACAACAGATCGGAAGAACTCTGGAGAGATGGTAGACCATTCTGTCTCGATAACTGTCCACAACTGAAGCTATAAAATTCTGTTCAAATTATTTAGATTTCAACATTAAATAACCTCTAGTGGTTGATATGCCTCTAATAAAAATCAACCAACCAACCCGGTTTAGGATTGGGTTTCTAGTTCCTTCTAAAGTTTACTTCAACTCTATGCTTCTGAATTCTTTATTTTCTATTTATTTTTCCTCAATAGGAGTAGATAGGTTAGCCTATCGTCCTATACACACTCCTCCCCTGTCTTTTGAACAGGAGTAGAGGTTTATACTTTGTTTCCGGTTTAAGATTGGGTTTCCGGTTCCATCTAAAGTCTTATTTTCTTTCACTGCTAGTTGCCCCTTGCGTTTTAGTGGCATTATTGCCTTGATTGGGGGTGAACGGATTAAAAAATACCGACGTCCTTGTCCCAGGTGTGGCGTCTTCTATACCCCATCAAAGATAACGCTGGATATGTGTCTGGTATCACCTGCATTGTATATGGATATAATTTGAGCCAGTGTCTCTTTTCTGTTACTGTAAACAGTTCTAGCCAGTTGCCTCTACCCCCGATCATGAAAGATTCGTGGAGAAGCACTGCGTTGTCCAGATTCTTTCCGTCAAGTATCTCTATACACCCGATCGGGAGATGTCAAATGTCATAACGGTTTTAGAAATGGAATGTGCCCTTCGTTTAGGACGCACTATCATATCCCGTTCGAATATCGATAATGTACGTCGCCCTACCATGAGCAACCTAGCCGGTGTTCACACTAACTCCTCTGATGTCAGATTACAACTGATAGAGTTCAGAGCATTCTCATGTCGTCAATGTACATGGCACTATCTATCATTACCTTGACATATTGCTATCCTAGGACATTTGGCACGTCAGCGAAATAATTTTCTTTGATGAAAACTGCTTGGAAATAAAAGTAATTGTTAGATTAAGTCGTTATGTACACGTTTTACATTCGGACTAATATCTTAATCTTTCTTGTTAATATCAGAGCGTTTCAGCGATTGTACATTCCGACTTTCTTAACATGTCTGTTGATTCGGGTAACCTGTCTAGGAATATTTTGTCTTGTTCTTTTCAGTGCAGCTAAACTATTTTCCAATTCTAAGTCTGTACTAGGCGACCTAGGAATCGAACTCACAATTACTATACCACCAAATTCACGAACCAACGATTTAATCCACTATGCTATTGTCAACCTAGAACTTGAAGGCTTAAACATTATGTTCTTACTACCTGCCTGCTGCTGCTGCCCCTGATGTCATACTTGACCTTCTTTGCCGCTACTTCTTTTTTCTTACTTCTGAATAAAACAAGATATCCCAAAACATGGATAGCAGAACAACAGTCTACACCTGCAGATTAAATAAAGAGTTTCTGTCTGAAGTTCGCTGAAGGTTAATCAAAGGGCATCTGAAAAAAAACAAAAAAAAACGAAACCTTGTGCGATGATAGCAACAAAATTGGGGACATTAGTCCGAATGTGAAAAATGTTAATAACTCCTCATCCCAGAAATTCAGATAATATATCATTAATTTGACAATTATATAATAAAATTGTTGTGAATAATTTCAACATAATAGCTCAAAATTTTCAGGAAAAAAAAAAAAAGAAAAAGAAAAATAAGTTTAACTATTTCTTTTCTAATCATTTCACCCCTAAGCAAGGTAATACAGCCACTAAGACGCAAGGGGTTACTGGGTGTGAAAAAATCCGAGGAAAAAAATATTAAGGGGAGATAACCATGAATGAACATTTACATTATTCGGACTATTGTCCTCATCTTTGTCGCCATATTTATTACAACGTTTCGGCCGTTGTACGCTCCGGCCTTCTTCATGTAGTTGTAATGTCGAACTGAACCCTTTATTTCGCTCACTGGGGTAGACTGTTCTAGTTCCACGTGCCATGTTTAATGGATGTCAGTTATCAGTTATCTCCTGTTAATTCCTCTCTCCAAGTTCTCCACTGCCTTAAACGAGTATTGAACTCACACTCTTGGATAAAGGCTTTGGTTAGATCCAGTAACAGGACCCAAAGAGTGTGAGTTCAATACTAGGTTAAGGCAGTGGAGAACTTTCAGAGGGAAATTAGCAGGAGATAACTGATATCCATTAAACATGGCACGTGGAACTCGAATAGTCCGAATAATGTAAATAATGTACATAATACCTCATCTCAGAAATATAGAAAGAAAACAATGAATGAATTAAAGCGTGGCTTGGTTTACGGCATATCAACGTCAATGGCTATTTAATGCGGACAAGAAGTTTATTGCTGGTATTATTTTATTTCAAAATATCTATTGCTGGTAATATTTTTTTTTTCCAAAAATGTCTTGCTGGTAATAATTTTTCCAAAAAAGTATTGCTTGTATTCAAACCTATTTTTACACTTTCGTAGTGTTTTGGTCCCTTTTGGTGTGTGGAAGGTAACTATTTGCCTGGACCTGGGAACAACAGGTTTTAAGAGGTTGTTCCACGCTCCTCAAAGCCTCCTTATCAAAGGCCTTGCTGACGGATATAGTGAAGAAAAGCAGGAAGAAAGAACTCTCAATTGTAAGAGATAATACCCAGGAAGGATCAGGAATTAATGAAACAGATGACGACAAATGAAATTGCATTTAAAAATTTGGAAATCAAATCTGATTGTAAAGCAAGAAGCCAAAAGAGAGTACCACAAGCGAGAAGTGCGAGAGAAGAAACCGTTAGCATAGAACTTACGGTTATATTTAGCAATTTCCATTGTAAAAGGATGAGACCTAATTGCCAATCTAGTACTGCGCTTAAATTCGTAATGTCGAGGTTTTGAAGAGGAAAGCTCAAGAGAACAATTACCATGAAAATATTTATAGAAAAGGCAGAAGGAAGCCACGTTACGCCATTGGAAAATGTCAGGGAAATATCGGCGCTGAGGACTGAAACCGGAATTGGGTGTCGCGTAGGTTATTGAAGAACTAAGCAAAAAGACCTTTACTGGAAATGTTAATTCTCTTTTCTTTGATTCTCAATTTATTCTTATCTTTTTTTTCTTTCTTTTCTTACAGACGGCACTCCGATCAATTCTTGCAACCAGACACGAATTAACTCCCCTGGATTCCTATCGAGTCCTGGTTACCCAAGAGCGTATGCGGGTCACACCAATTGTTTTTATCATTTAAAGGTACTTGACCAATTTTACTCTTCTGTATCATAATTAAATTTGTCGCTTATATCAATAGAAATTAATTATATATATATTCAAATCTTTTTACTTTAACGTCACTTTCGTACAGACACAACGTTGCAAGTCTGTTGCTTGCTCTCTCGCCTATTTACATAGCAAATGTTCAGATGAGCGCTCCATTCGTTAGTTCAACCAGTTTAGTTTATTCAGACCTTTACTGAATCCTTTTAATCTTGACCTCTTCATGTCAAGGGTCAATCGTTATCCTCATAACCTTCATTTCCTATCCCCTCCTCTTCCACTCATATCTCCCACCTCGTTTATTATTTCTTTTGTAACACTCGACCTTGAGTGGCTTTCGAGACTTGTATCTGGGGGAAATTGGAAAAAAAAAAAAAAAAAAAGACACGGTTTCGGATACAGAACGATAAACTCTTTGTGTCTAATTATTAAAAAAATAATTTTTTAAAAATCGTTTACGCAGTCATGGGGAGGAGGACATATTCTCCACTCTGCAATCGCTTTCCTACAATACACCTGTCACAACTTTATTGTTAATTTCTATGGTAAATTTTCAGATGAGCGCTTCATTCTTTAGTTCCACTAGTTCAGACCTTTACATCTAAGACCCGCTATGCGACTTCCACGGAGTCGAATCACTCTCATTTCCCCCTTGTGTTCCAAATATAAAAAAAAAAACGCTTCACCCAGCTTTTTTTCCAAGAACTACCACTCTGCGGAATAGACACACGCAAAGGTACTTTACGAAACATTTCAATTTTAACCTCTTCAAATCAAAGGTCGATTATTATCTATCCTACTTATCCTCATAACCTTCACTTCCTATCACCTCCTCTTCCACCCATATCTCCCACATCGTTCATTATTTCAATTAAACTCGACCTTGAGTGGCTTTCGAGACTTGTAGTTGGGGAAAATTTAAAAAAAAAAACCGATTACGGATACAGAAGTAAAATCGTTTACGCAGGCTTGTGGGGAATCACTTTTCTATAACACAACTTAGCAAACCTATGGCAAATGTTCAGATGAGCGCCCCCATTCTTTAGTTCCACTAATTCAGACCTTTACAGATTGGAGACTCCATACTACGACAACGGATTCGAAACACCCGTATTCCCTACATATTCCATTTGTAACGAAGAAGTTCCACTTACCCTTTTTTTTTTTTTTTTTTTTTTTTTTTTTGAAGGATCACCCTCTTGTTGGTAACAAACTGTCGCGTGAACGCTTCTCTGAACCCTAAAATCATAACCGCTTTAATTCAAGGGCCGGTTTGTTATTTATCTTCCCTATCCTCCATAATTTTCACATTCCTTCCACCGCCTCTTATCTTCATATCACACACCTCATTTAGTATCCCTCTGCCCCGAGTGGCTCTTGAGTCTTGTATTAGGTACACTTACCCCTTTGAACTGACTTTCGATTGTTTAATTTAACTTTTATCACTCTGTATGAGATTTCATTTACTGTACAAAAAGTTTATTTTGCCACTGAAGATGACTTTGATCCCTGAACAATAGTGTGTTTGAATTTCATAGTTGTGTTGTCATGTCCTGCTATGGCAACAGAAAACAATTTTGAGTGAAATTAACAATAAGGTCAGTGCAATTGAGAGGCCTTGAAAAAGACTACAGTGGAAAAGGAAGTAATATTAATAATGCCGTGTGCTAAAGGTTAAAAAAGATATTTATTCAACTTGAAAAGATCTGACGTCCACATTTTAAAAATTCCCAAAATACAACAGACCAAACGTTGCGAAAGGCACAAAAAATTTGAGGACAATACTTAAATGTCCTCGTCCTTGTTGGTATGATTGCAACGTTTCGGTAGCTTGTGCCTTCTTGCCGATCCGAGTAACCACCGAAAAATCTGCAATATTATTAGGCCTGCCTTGACATCTCTTCATCGATCACTTTCCCATCGCCGTAATGTAGCTTTTTCTATAAGTATTTTCATGGTAATTGTTCTGATGAGCTTTCCTCTTTGGTTTCTTGAGTGCATGAATTTCAGTGTAGCACTACATTAGCAGTTATGCTTCGACGTATTAAGGTTGAAATTGTTAGATGTAACCGTAAGTTCTATGCTAGCAGTTTCTTCTCTAGCTTGTGAAACACTTCTGGTTTCTTGCTAAGAGTTTCTTCTTTCGCACTTCTGCCCTGTGGAAGTGTTTTCCGGCTTCTTGCTTTCCTCTTAGCTACAATTTACAAACATTTAAATGAAATGTCAGTCGTCTTCTGTCTTAAAACACCCATTCTTTCGTTGTCTTTTCTCCTCAGTCAGTCCTTGCATATTAATGGCTTTATTGTCTTTCTTAGGGTGAAATGATTAAAAGAAAAAGACCTTCAGGGAATTTCGCACTGAATCTTTTTCTTTTTGAAATTTAGGCTTAATCGTCCCGTTGCATAAGCGATATTGTTGCATTTACTTAAAATAGTAATCTTTTTTTTATATAGATTTTTATCTTTGACACTGTCTATCACCTCATCTATCACAGTGTTTTTTTTTTGGGGGGGGGACTCAATACTGAACGCAATGTTATGTTTATAGAAAAGATAAAGTATTTAACACGGATCGAAACGTATTTATCACTGAGAATAAAATGGAACAAGCGTGCGAATGAAATGATTTTGATTGATTTATTTGTTTGACGGCATATCAACACCTTATGTGTCATTTAATGTCAAAATTTAATTTTCTTGGGGATCTTTGAAGTAACAAAAATATGACTGAGGTTATTATTCTTTCACAATTGAATACATGGTAGATGATACCCAGCTTTCGGCTTTGTAAGAACATAATTACTAGAGGTGGTGATATATGTGTTTTATGTTGTAGTTTTGTTGAAATTATATTTTGGAATACAGTTTAATTTCTTTAAGTAATTGTAGGATATTACATCCTGAAAGAGTTTTCATGTTGCTTTTTTGGTTGATTTTGATTAGCGACATATCAACCTCTAGGGGTTATTTAATGCCAAAATCTGAATATGTTGAACAATTTTATGGCTTCAACTAAATATATTTTTTAATGCTTCAACAACAGAAAATGTATTGTTGGTAATTTTTACATATAAAAATAAATTGCTGGTATTTGTACTGTAAATTTGCTCATAGCTAGGACCCTAACAAGTCCTACCTTGGGTCAGTGTGAACCTTCGACCAACAGCAATTAAGAGGTGGTTCCACGCTTCACAAAACTTCTAGATCTCTTGATCAGAGGCCTTGCTGCCGGATGTGGTTTATCTCATCAAACCCAGGACTACGAATGGAATTAAGAAGTTTCAAGCAGGGACGAGAAATAAACTGCTGCGAACAATCACAAAGTGAGGACTGAATTTTTGTATATTGTTCTAGTTCCACGTGCCATGCCTCTTCCGGGTGTCTCAATTATTTCCCTTTAACTCAACTCTCTAAGTTTTTTGGTTCACCACTGCTGTGGCCTGGTATTGAACTCACAAATCTTTGGGTTTAGTCACTGGATCTAACCAACTGGTACATGTCGGTGGATGGAATAAAGGGTTCGATTCGAAATTCCAATCACTTGAAGAGGGCCGGAGCGTACAACGGCCGAAACGTTATGAATATGGCAATGAAGATGAGGATAACAGTCCGAATAATTCAAATAAGCTTCATGGATATGAAGCCGTGCTATCATCGAGCAGTTTCGATTGCTTAGTTTTTACGGTTTATCAACCCTTTGCAGGTTATTTCAAAGCAGAAAATATTTTTACATTTTAAGGATTTTTGGAGATAATAATGATTTACTGATATAAGTTTTTACTAATTAACTCATAGCTGGGGAATATTTTTCCAAGGGCATTTGTGCGTAAATAAATATAACGAACCCAACTGGAATTGGAACTCGGCTCTTCGATATCCAATTCGGAACCGTTATCCATTACACCACTTGTACATCCAAGCTTACAGCTCCTGGTATTCCCAAGCGCTCACCCATCTAAGCACTGACCCGGCTCGACGTTGCTTAACTTCAGTGATCGTACGAGGACCGGTGTTACAACGGAACAGTTTCGAGAAAATTTCACTTTTTAGCTTTTTCCATTGTTAAGCCATTAGGGCAGTAGTAGCAGTTGGTGTGGGGCAAGGGCAAATTATCATAACAGAGACCATCCCTATTCATGATGGATTTGAATTCAGTTTTCCTTCTCCTAGACTTGTTGCCACTCAAGGCTATAGAGCCCAGTCTACCTTGCTATTAACCTCTAGCCGGGGATTGAGATGGATTCATATCTTTTCAAGACTATTTGCACAAATGTGAACGCAACAGCCTCGGCTGGGATTTGAACTCGATACGCCAGGCCCTCATTCAACATCGTCAACCACCACGCTACGCGTATATGGGCCATTTCATGCCGAAATGTAATTTTCTTGGCAGCATTAGTAATTGGTCTTAGAAAAAAAAAATGAACTGATGGTAAGATTTTTATTTTTTATAAAAATAAATTGCTGGTAATTTCTTTACTATGAAAATGTATTTTTATACTTTCATAGTATTTTGACCCCAGTTTGGGGGGGGGGGTTAACTAATTGTCCGTAGTTGGGACCATAACAGATGTTTTCATCCCGGGTCAGCAATTAAGAGATGGTTCCACGCTCCCCAAAATCTCCCGATCAGAAGCCTTGCTGCCGGATGTAGTTTATCGTCATACCCAGGACGCCCCACTCGCATATCATTAAGTAGCCGTTATTAATCAATGTTTCACACACACACATATATATATATATATATATATACACACGTGTGTGTGTGTGTATTTATGTATACATTTTTTAATTATATTAGGTTGAGTCATAAGTAATTTTCGTAATTTTTGTGAACTAATTGTAATGACGAATGCATCATCCTAATTACGAATGATATGTGGCAGTCAAGAATAAGTTTAGACGACACAATCACACGACAATGTTCCGTAATCGACTCCAAAATCTAAGTTCAATGGAAGAAAAGTGCGCGATGGGATCATTGGGTTATTTTCTTTTAGAGTTCTTACAGCGCAATGAAAATTAAATGCACAGTTATACTTCCAGCAGTTGTAACGTGTCCATAAAGTTCTGGTCGAAATGCCCCCAGTGCTCGTCAATAGGGAATATGTTATTGTCCTCCATGGCAACACAAGGCCGCACACAACAAGAATAAAATAGGAACAAAATTTTGAAGTCGTCTGGTCTGTTCTATGGAAGCAAGTAGGAATCAGTGACTAACCTGCGTGACGAATTTGAGTAAACGGAGGGAAAAACACGCATCACAAAAGCATAAAAGGTTTGAAAAGGTCAAAAATTTATTTAAAAAATGGACAGGAAATTGTGGAAGGTTATGATCGACTACATCATGACAGAAAGTAGCACATAAAGAATCTGACCTCACTTGGGAGAAATGTTTTTTTTGTTTCTAAATAAGAATCAATCCTGTCAAGTCACGTGTTATTCGGGGACGCCCAAATCTGACAGTTATTGAAATTTAGCTCTTCTGTTCATTCAATTGAAAGTGTGACATTGAAATCTGAAGACGTCTAAGAATAGTGGAAGATATTGAGAAAGTGATCAGGAAGTGAAGAAAAAACTTGAAGTTACTATCATGGACAGAATATGTGAGAAAAAGAAGTTTTAAGGAGATTGCTGCTAACAATCAGAAAGAGTTTCGGCCTTCTTCAGTATCTGTCTATATTTCTGAGATGATGTATTATGTACACTATTTACATTATTCGGGCTATTGTCCTAATCTTTGTCGCCATATTTATTACAACGTTTCGGCTGTTGTACGCTGCGGCCTTCTTCAGGTGGTTGGAATGTCGAACTGAACCCTTTATTTAGCTCACTGGTGTGGACTGTTCAAGTTCTCCATTGCCTCAAGGACACATGGCACAGTGGATAAAGCGCTGGTTAGATCCAGTGACATGACCCAAAGTACGTGAGTTCAATACCCAGTTTAGGCAGTGGAGAACGTGCAGAGGGGAATTAACAGGAGATAACTTATAACTGACACCCATTAAACATGGTACGTGGAACTAGAACAGTCTACCCCAGTGAGCGAAATAAAGGGTTCAGTTCGACATTTCAACCACCTGAAGAAGGCCAGAGCGTACAACGGCCGAAACGTTGTGATAAACCTGGTGACAAAGATGAGGTCAATAGTCCGAATAATGTAAATAATCAGAAGGAGAGCTGAAAATCTTAAGACAAGTAATAAGAAAAGACGGCTAACAAGTACAATTAAGGCCAAAGGGCAAGTAACGAGCGTAGACAGCAAAACAAGTCCTAAAGGATGATGTGGAGAGCCGTGATCAACTACGTTTTGAAAGGATATGGCACATAAAAAGATTTCATTTTTCTTTTTATATTGATGTAAATTGTAAAAGCAGATAAGTTTTCGTTTTTTTTTTGTTTTTTTTTTTGCAGTCGCATACCTTCATTAAAATTAGGTATCGCGAATTAGTGGAGGTACCTAAGGTTTAAAATGAATTTTTATAAATTAAAAAGCTTCCTTGAAACTTTCATTTTAGCTTTTATTGAAAACTAAAGGATTAAATTTACTATTTCCATAGAAAATACGATGGAGTATTTCAAACAGAAATTATATTGATTTCAATCTATTTTCAACTTTTTCCAGAAAAATCGTTTAAGTCGTTCATGTTTTAGATATTTGTAAACACCAGTTAGTTCTCATTAAAATAAAAAAATAAAACATACTTTTCTGAAACATTATTTGAGGAATATCAGCTAATTTAACGTATAATTAATCTGGTTTGAAAATCATTATTTACTTTAATTTTAAAATAACACAGAAATGCATTTTTAAATCAAATAGTAGCTGTGTTTTTCGCCGACAGTAGCCATGTTTACGTGTTTGACTAGCGATAACAAGGTGATGACAGATTGATTGTTGTTCTACGGGGACTTTATAGAACATAATTGAAGAAAATAACGTGAACGCCTTTTTTATATAATTTTTAAGGACTCGGTAATCTTAACAATTTGGGGAAATTTTAATTTAAAAACGAAACACGAGTCCTTTGTAATTATTTTCTATTTATAAACACTATAAGACAAAAATTATTTTTGTTCGTTTGTAGAAAGAATGGATGTTCGTATATGCGATTCCAAGTCCAGATACCTTAATAGAATGTCTGGCAGAAATAATCCGATTCAGTTCAATGAACTAAGTTGGCAATCGTGATATAACATTCTTTTAAATTTGAATTGTATTGTCGATTAAATACCAAGATGGCTTCTTGTTTATTCCTCGACTTTAATTTTGTGGAGTCAGTGTGCTTCGATTGTAAAACTAAATAAAAGAACACCAACTTTATCAAATAGGCTGCTTGTTTGTTTTTATTCTTCTTTCTGACTTTAAGAACATCCTGTGCGAATCTTTTTTTTCTCTCTCGATACACCTGTCATCATTTCTCAACGTTTATATGGGAACATGACCTCAGGTTAACAAGTGCAGATTGCGAAAAATAAATAAAAATAAAAGAACGAGCCTGACATTTTTTATTCTTCGTCTGTTTCGTCTCCGAATACTTCCGGACTTACAATATCTCGAGAATTACTACATAAACATACATTTGAGGGTACTAAAAAAAAAAAATTCTCGGCCTAACTTACTTCCCAAAATCTGAGGCTTCCGGCCACATCACGTTGAAACGCAGGTTCCAATATGATCACCGAAGTTAGGCAACGTCGAGCCTGGTCAATACCTAGATGGGTGACCACTTGGGAATACCAGGTGCTGTAATCTGGGAGGTGCGAGTGATGTAGTTCCGATTCATGCTGGGTTCGCTATATGCAAATACCCTTGGGAATGGTATGAATCCACCTCTTCTCCCCCAGCTATGGGTTAATTAGCAAGACTTGTATTAACTAAAACCATTATTATCTCAAGAAAAAAAAACTATACAAAATATTTAGATATTTTTCCTTGTACAGAATCTTTTAGCAAGGGTTCAGTGATACAGATATTAAATAACCCATAGAGGTGTTGATATGCCGCTAAACAAAAATAACCAAGCAACTAAAATCTGATCCATCAGAACTTTTTTGATTCCCTTCTTGGTTAGGCTGAGAATTTATCTGTATTCAGAGTGTGTGGGTATATAGAATTGTATTTTGTATGTATATATGTGCACATGTAATTTGTATGTATGTATGAAATCATAAAGCCCAAATCACCTTTGACATTGCCCAGACGCAGTGTCACAGCCTCTGCACGCTGTGTGACAAGGTATGCAAAACCAGCTCCAGACTGAAAATGTACAGGGTGGTGCAAAGGAATCCGTCAAATCGGTGTGAATCCATCAAGGTTGCGGCAAGCATATTGTTCGTCTGTCACTTGTGACTCAAGTTATGCAAGTCTGCAGCCGGCATAGCAAGTCATCTTCGGCGCCCATCATCTTTGAAGAGGTGGCGGATCATCATGTAAGCGTGTGTGAACACGTGTTGATTTTTTTTACTAAAGTTCACTCAGTACAGAGCTCAGGAGCCACTCAAGGTAGAGGGCTACTGTGTGATGTTTAAGTGTAAGGAAAGACAAGAAATACAGTTCATGAGGTTATTTAGGAAAGATGGCTGTTAACTCGAAGAGGTCAAGAGTGATCGGAAAGTGAGAGTATGTTCCACAAAGTAGCGGTCCTTGGTATGAAACTCTGGAACTTACTCCTTCGAAGGGAAATGCGGACGATTCATCCGTGTGTACGTGGCATGGTGGGTCTTAGCTGCGAAGGTGAGAACTGGTTGCAACTAAAGAATGTAGCGCGTCAGAACACTTGCCATAGAAATAGCGAGAGGCTTGCAACATTTCGTCTGCGGTTGTAGGGTGGAAAATTACTCACTACTCGGATCGTATTAAAACAGGAAAATGAAGACTGTGCAGCTCCAGCGCAGATATGGCAGCAATAATCCATTTTTAGTCCGATCTAGCTATTGTAAAGATAACGTATAACAGGGAGAGTCAGATACTTACTAATGCAATACAATGAACTGACTATTTTTCCAACATCTTTACCAATAGATCGGATATATATGTCCCACTTGGGGTCTAAGGTGAGCTTGTGACCCAACAGACGTTCAAGTCAAGGAGTCTCTTTGAGAGAACATCCATTCTGTTAGGTGGCAGTGTCTGCTCGGTGATCGTGGAAGGTTACAAGCCAGTCCTTCCCACATTGAGCCACGAGGGCTTAGTCAAAAGAGAGAGACCAGATTGTAGTCATCCAGATATCGATAAATCCATTTTTGAAGGCAAAGATCTTGACAGACAAGTTTGTAATTTTTAAATCGAATTCGGTCCAGTAAAGCAATTAAGACATAAGTGGTTACTGGTGTAGAAGAATTAGAAAACTGAAACATTACTAATGAGCGGAAAGAGGAAAGAGTAATCGAGAGGATAGTAGATAGCGATTGACATTACATTTAAATTTTTGAAGATTAAAGTTGGCTGGAAAGCATGAAGCCAGAAGGGAGTTCCACAAGTGGAAAAAGTAAGAGAAAAACTATTATCGTAGAAGTTATGGTTACATCTCGCACGCTCAACTGTAAATTGATGAGATCTCGACGTCAGTCTAATACTGCTCTTAAATCGAAAGAAGTCTAGGAACGATACTGAAGAGCTCTTTATAATCATATATTTACAGAAAAGACACAGAGAGGTAACCTTCTGGCGGTGGGAAAGTCACAGAAGCTGAGCCGCCAGATCAGGATCGATAATATTGCTGATTCCTCTTTGGATTTTATCAAGGATATCAAAGTAAACAGAAGAGGCCTCGGACTATATGTGGCAGTAATATTCTAAGTGTGGACGAAAAGTAAACTTATAGATATGTATGATAGATTCTGGAGAGAAAAAATTGTCTCGCACGACACAATGAACCAACATTTTTAGCAGCTGACCTAGCAATGGATTCAGTATAGATTATTACACTTCATCTTATCTGAGAATGTTAGCCCGAGAAGGCGCACCGAGTGACTTTCCTGGAGGTTAGCATCAGCCATGCTGATGGAAGGCAGAGGGAGGTCTCTCAGATGATTAATGGAGAGAAGTTTAGTTGATGCTGTTACTTTTGTCATGTCAGAATACAACAACCATCATCTTCGCTAATATTTAGGCAGTAGCTGATTCTTATGGACCATGTCCTTTAGAACTTGAACGGTAATGGCTCTCCACAACTCCCTATCTTTTATTGTTCTAAATAACTCTTGCCTCTTTACCAATCCCCTTTTTGTCTTTGTTTTCCTTGGCTTGCCATCGATTTACTGAAACTTATCAAGTTGGTTACTCGTTGTTTCCTGTTGATTCCCTTGCCTTGTGAGTGTTAAGTTCTCCTCATATATCCAGTTTTTTTAACTGTCTGATTGTTAGCAGCAGTTCCTTTTGTAGTTCACATTCCTGTTTGTTTGTTTAACAGCATATCAATATCCTTATGGGCCATTTCATGCCAAAATTTAATTTTCCTTGGAGCATTAGTTGTTTCTTTTTCAAAAACTTATTGTTGGTACTATTTTGTTTTCCTTACAAAAATGTATTGCTGGAAATATTTAAAGAACTATCTTTTTTGTAAAAACATGTTGTTGGTATTTATTTTTATAAAATTGTTTTTTACACTTTCTCAGTGTTGATATTTATTTGGGGGTTAACTATTTGCCCATAGCTGGGACCCTAACATGTGCTACCACCCCAGATAACGGTGGACCTAGAAACAACAGCAATTGAGAGTGGTTCCACACTCTTCAAAACCTCCCAATCAGCGGCCTTGCTGCCGGATGTAGTTTATCGTCATACCCAGGTCGTAGTTTAAATTTCCTTGTTATTCTGATTCTCAGTCGAGACAGCGATATTCTACATCTGTGGGGAAATTGTCGCATATTCATTGCTTTAGAGGAAAATATATACAACATTGCAGTTCAGGATAGTATCGATCGTGTCTCTCCACAGCTTCCTTCCGTTGTAGTACTAAGCAACATTTATCCCCTTACCACCCGTTTCAGTTCCCAGTCTGTCGTCCGTTTATATTGGTTACTCACTGTTTCCTTCTGCTCCTATTGACTTCAGTTAAATTATATGTCCCAGAAGTTTTAACTGTCACTTTCTGGTTATAAGTATAAGTTGTGGCAGAAATACCATCCACATAATGGTATGACTTTAGTATTAATGGTTTCTTCATCTAGCTTAATGACTTACCATTATGTGGGAGGTATTTCTGTCACATCCTTTTTGTTCCCATTTTCTTTCAAACTTTTTTGTTGCTCACATTCTGTCTATGGTATTCTTAGCATCCTCCTGTAGAACCATGTTTCTCTTGCTTCAAGCCTCGTCTTCATCTGTGATGGTCCAGCATTTACTGTTATAGAGAAGAATTGATATAACAGTTCAGCACTCTTTTCCTTGTACAGTTTATAAATCCATCCATGTCACATTCCTTTCAGATACATGAATTGTAAGCATTTTTCCGTCATTCCCTCCCCCCCTACCACTAAAATTCTCTGATCTTAGATTTTTTTTGTAGGTGTAACAAAATAGTATTCCACAAACGGAAGCCATTTCTTTTTTGCTGCTTTGCTTAAAGATTAACATTAAGTTTCATCTTCCTATAATAGAATCTTTTATTGAAGATTCAGTGATATACAGTCTTCCTTTGATAAAATTGTCCATGATCATTTTTATATGAACCCCACAAGAGAAAGTATTTGTTGGTCAAAGCACCCACAACCCTCTGACATCATTTGCTTTTTTTCTCCTATTGTTGTTGTTCTCTCAATTAGTCACCTTTTTTTCTTTTTAGAAAGCAGTTTTTGTAGTTTGTATTCCACTTATAACTTCCTCGTTACTCTCATGCTCTGTTCATAGTAATCTCAGTTTTCATCAGTAGAAGATATGTATATTCTTCATGTGTGAAGAAATTGTTTATTATACAGGAGGATCGATAAAACAGCAGTTCTTTTGTTTCTAAAGACATCGTTCTACTGAGAGGACATGTTCTAAATCATGAGCAGGTCACATTTGAATTGCCATCTAAAAGTCCTAGAAACTATTTTTATGAAGTTAAAACAACTTTCATTATGTGAACAGAAAGAATGACTGCTGCCATTTAGATTTGTCTTTAAAAATATATCCGTGTATTTTCTGTTTCACATTGTCTTTTAGCCGGTTATGCAGAAAATGTTATTTTCTTCGATCGAGTTCTGATGAGTGATAAGCGATAATATAGCGAAGAAAACGGCGACTTACCTCGTCAAACCAAGCGACAGCGCGTCGCGTGTATCCTACGACGGAAAATGTGGCGAAAAAGAAAATTACTTACCCCCCGCCCCCCAAGGGCACGTATTCCGCATGACATACCGAAGACGGAATATTTAAATTAAAAACAAGTCCGTCGCAGGAGTCGCCATAAAAATATTTTGATATGCAAAAATTGAGCGTCCTCTCCCATCTGTCGACGAATGGAAAAAATGCTCGGCCGATAAAAGCAGTTGGTGTTCTCGAATCGGGGAGGAAAAGTTCGGGTTTTTTGGCTACTGCGTTTGTCGGAGAGTGAGTTATTTTTCTGGCTGGTTGCGTGCATTGTGATATGTGAGATAGTACCTGCAAATCGAGTTTTCGGCATTTCTTTCTGCCCCCGATGTTCGAGTCTGAACTTAATGATTTATTCTCTGCATTGTGGAAGTAATCTGCGACAAATATTTCCTTTGCAATCCCAGATCGCTTACAGATAATCGGCTAGATCCCTCTTTTTATGTCCGTTAGCCCATAATTAAATGTTGTACTTCGTCTGAATATTTCACTAGTTCTATGCACATTCGAATTTCTGTGGCACAACTCCAGTCGCCTGTTACTAGACGAGCCAAAGACACAAATCTCTCTGATTGGTTTTGATAAATTGAGCTGCAATGGCGGAGAATTAAAAACAAAATAATAACGATAAAAATAAAAACTAAAACGAAAAAAGATGAATGAGACGGGCAAGAAATCTCGATAAACTGGACGTCAAAAGTAATACATTTATAGCTGAGTGTCCCTGTCACTTTAAAGTTTCCGAAATCTAAGCAGGGGTTGCTTCTTCTCCCTTGTATGTATAAGGATGATTCCATCTACAAAACTATACTTAGTCTGAAGAAGTTCCTTCTGCGAACGAAACGTTTTACGTAGTTTTTTTTTTATTTTGCCATTCGATTACACACGCGCATATATATTTCTAAATAGAAAAAATCAAGAGATTAACCACCCCCACACTGATACGTTTACAATACTCTTACAATCCCCCTCCTCCCTTTCTATTACATCCAACGTCGCGCGTTTCTTTATTTTTGAAAATAATATAGCGTTCATTAGTTTTCTAAAAAAAAAAAAGCGTTAAGAGGTCATTTGATAAAAATCGCCTGAGGATACCGTAAGGTTGAAACCAAGGTAACGGATTCAACTGATCTCCTGAATTTTAAAGTTAAAAGTTATACATGTATTTATTTTTCACACGTGTATTGAACAACTTTTAATACTACTGTTTCCTGGTTTGATTTAACTCTGACCATTGACCTTTTATATATTCTCATTCTCTCTCTATATATATTTTACAGCAGTAGGTTGCCGTTTCTTTCTGTGCTAGACTGGTTAGAACCCAGTTAAATTTTGCTATTTAACCCATAGCTTGGGGAATGAGATGAATTCATAAATTTCCCGATGGAATTTTCATGTAAGTAAATGTAAGGAAACCATCCGGAATTCGATTTCCAAATCGTTATTGGTTACGCCAAATCATACATCATTTATCACCCCCCACGTCCTCTAATATATATATATATATATATATCTCACCCCATGCAAACCATTAAGACAGAAGGAGTTATAGGATATGGGAAAAAATTGGAAACAGGAATATTAATAACCAGCGGTAAGAGAACAGTCATCAGAAGGATAGTAGATAGCAATTGACATAGCATTTACATATTTGTAGATTAAAGTTGGCTGGAAAGCGTGGAGCCAGAAAGGAGTTCCACAGGCGAGAAGTGCGAGAGAAGAAGCTGTTAGTATAGAACTTATGGTTGCATCTAGCCACCTCAACTGTAAATTGATGAAATCTCATCGCCAGTCTAGTACTGCGCTTAAATTCAAAGAAGTGTAAGTACCACAGTGAAGAGCTCATCCGAATAATTATTTTTTTAAGATAAAGAAATGTGTTTTTTTCTTGTAAGTTTTATCGATTTATATTAATTTTTTCTTTTTAGGCACCGAGTGACAACAAAATCAAACTGGAATTTCTCGTGTTTGATATTCAAAGCAACACCCATTGTCGATACAATTACTTGCAGATATTTGATGGGCCAGACATGTGTAAGTACGACCTTTTTTTTTGATGGGCCAGACATGTGTAAGTACGACCTTTTTTTTTTTTCTTTTAAATCACGCCTATTTCTTTTTTTTTTTTTTTATTCTGCACAAAACACCGCGGTTCACGAGTAATACCTCATCTTAGAAACATAGATAGTGAAGGGCCGAAACGTAATAAATATGGCGAAAAAGATGAGGACAATAGTCCGAATAATGTAAATAGTGTACATAATACCTCATCTCAGAAATATAGACAGATACTGATTCCACGCTATTGTATATAAATATTTGCGCACACACACACACACGCGCGCGCGCGCATATTAATTCCTAGCCATTAATGTCAATAGTGTATAAAGAGACAAAAGGAAAACTTTTTAACCCACGCGTTTTGTCCTCTAACCTTTCCTGAATTAATTACTACTTTCCCAGGTCAACATACACGACCACAAATGTTGAAAAATTTAAAGAAAACCATTAAATCCATGGTTTTTGAAGATGTACGGCACAGGCATCCATCTTTGACCATAACAATCTAATCACAATTTAAATAATATTCACTTAAAAAAATTCTTTTTATTTATAAATGAAATGCAACATTGGTGAAATTGAGAGTCTTCCTGATGCAGTCACAACTTCGCTGTGCTGGTCATGTTACAAGGAGTGACGACAGAATACCTAAGGTCCTCATGTATAGCCAGCTGGACAATGGACTGTTGGACGACCATGGCTCACATATAAAGACAATCTAAAGAGCAACCTCTCAGCTGTCAATGTGCTTGATACTAAACTCGAGCAAGTTGCCTTGGAAAGAAATGTATCAGAAATTTTGAAATCAGTCATATTGACCAGCTGAGAGACAAAAGATAACGATGAAAAGCGTCAACAAATGTTCCTGTTGCTATGTCCTGAGATCGTTGCTGTGGCACAATATGTGGACTTGTATGCAGGTCACTAGTGGGACTGAAGTGTCGCACAAAGGCTATATCATTAGATATTTTAGCCGTTTTTGACAAGGTGGGACATAAGCTCTATAGCTATGGAATCGCTGGAAGAATTTTCTTCATAATAAAGTCCTTCCTAATGGGTTAAGTTATTTGTTAACGGCCAGTCCCGCAGGGCCCTAGCAATCAACGCAGGTGCCCTCGATGGGTCGCTTCTCGGAATGATTTACCTAAAAGTAGACTTTGATCATTTGCAAATATCTATGCTGATAGTACAACAGTATATGAGAACACCTTCAAAACTCCGGATGATCAGTGATTGACAGCTGATCTCTCCTCTGATCTAGCTTAAACAGCTCCACGGCGAAAAAAAACAAAAAAAAAAAAAAAAACTGGCTGGTTACACTGAATGCCTCGAAAATCAAACGAGTTACATTCCATCATCGCCAATCAGATCCTGAATTATCACCAATCGGGATGAACGGCTCCCCCACCCCCGGGAGACGCTGTGTCTTTAGTGCCTATTGGGACCTAAACTCAACCCAAACCTCAAGTGGAACTCGTACATGCGGTCCATCGCTAAAGATGCTGGGAAAAATGGTCGCGCCAGTAAGGACGTGACTCCCCCTGCTATCCTCTACATTTTTCAAGAGCCAGATCAGACCGAAAATGGACTAATGCTGTCATATATGGGCAGGGAATGCCCAGTCTTCACTTTCCATGCTCGATAGACATAAAAAAAAGCGTCACCGCGTCCTTGCGGGTGATGAATTATCTTACAACCCCTTTCCTACGGACGAAATATAGCAAGCCTCTCGCTGCTCTATCGCTATTTTCATAGAAAGTATTCAGAAGAACTAAATCTCTTATTTGCACCAATTCGAATCTTCACGGCTAACACCCGCCATGCCACGTAGCGAACCACCCTCATTCTCTTCGTACACAATTGGTGACATGTAATTTCAACTCGAGCAGCTTTTTCCCCGCGAACAGCTGCTCTGTGAAACTGGCTCCCAAGAGGGTGTTTTCCCGATCACTACAATCATAACCATTATCTTCCCTACATATCCGCATAAAGTGTGCCTCCTACTTTGTAACCCTCCCACCACTTCGAGTGGCTCCCGGGTCTTGTAGAGGGTGAACATCACTCTGCAAAAAAAAGTGTTTGTATTGAATTGCGTTCCTGAGTTTCTAATTGGCCAAATATTTCTTTAACATGATATCGCATCAGGTGCTTCCGATTTAGATCCGGCTCACAGCTTTCTTTCAAACCTGATATGCCCCCCACCCCCCGACATGTTGACCTCGGCTCTTCAGGTTTACTTACACACCCAATATTGAGATTCCATTATTAATTCCACTTTGTTTACACAACTGCTCGTTAGAAACTGTGTCGCTCAAACTTTCCGATTCCCCGCCTGCGGGTGTGCATCACTCGAGAAATACAGTAGTAATCTTTATTCGGGGTTACTTCTAAGCTTTTCCTAAATAGATTGCATCTTCTTGCAATTTCATATAATATACTCAAATGAAGCAGGCAGAAAGGATCAAAATCTCATTCCTTTTAATAGACAAATTTGAGTTAAGTTATCTTTATTCGAGCTTGTCATTTGTAAATTGAAAAGAAATCATTATAGCATATACTTAATAATCTTGACACAACGTTGCATTTTAAGAGAAGTCTCCGAGAAGCTAGTCAATGATCAGCTAAAGTAACAAATGAAATTCTACCATTTGCGAAAGGTTAACTTGAAAGTACTGGAATCCCTCGATTAGTGCGGCTAATGTTTACATTAAAAAATCCGCATTAATCGAATATAATAACTTATATTAAATGATGTAATTTGTACCTCAAATTTTAATCTCAATTCATTTCTAATTTGCTTACTTTTTAATTAAAATGTAGGTACATATAAGAAGATATAATAAAAATGTTATGAATTAATGCTTATTAATCTGATTTTTTAATCAATCTTATTTATAGCGGTTTGCCGCATGATATTCTTCTGTTCTTCATATAATTGGCGGCACTGAGAAATTGCCACTTCAGATTTTCTAGACATATCATAATCTAAAAATTTTATTTAGAATCTTTCCATAGGAAATGCATACGTCTTTTATATTTCGATATCTTTTTAATAAATGTAAATTTCTGTATCTAATTAAATCGTGCATTTTTAAACAAAACAACAACAAAAAAATCAGAAATTTCCTTTTAAGATCTTCAAAATAAATATGAAAAAGAAAAAATATTCCAAAATTTTAATAGAGACAAATATTCAAATATATATTTTTATTATCGACTTCTATTATAAAATGTATCTTTATAACGGCCCATTTTTTTAAACACTACTCGAATTAATTAGATAATACTTAGCAAACAAAATATTTATCCATTTTTAAATTTTTAACTAATAGGTAAAAAATAAAAAAGTCAATTTTCAATTACTAGGGTTAAAATGAAGAATATTTTGCTGCGCTAATCAAATGTTATATAAAGATTTCGAGGGATTCCTGTATTAGAGACCACATTTCTGCATTTATATCATTCACTGCAGGAGATGATATTGTATATGATACATTTCATATGAGCTGCACACACACATACTATATATATATATATATATATATATATATATATAAAAATTTCTCAGAGTTAACCTGTAGTAAAAGACAATAGGAAAACTAATAGTTGCACAAAAGAGACCTCACAAAAAACAACTTAGCTAATGCACTAGTCATACATAGAAATAAATTCAACCACAATTTTGAGTTAAAAAATGCTACACTCATAAAAAAAGAAAATAATTCCCCCAGGAGAAACCTCGAGAGTGCCGCCATTGAATATTACCCAAATATTAATCTACGCCCAGGCTTTTTCCCTATTTCACCTTTAACAGAATTACTACTCTCCGAAACAAACGTACAGAACAGTATCAAAAAATCAAAAGAGAACGGTTGAATCCGTCAACACAGAAATAAAAACAATATCTCCACACGTGACAATAATTGACGTAAATTCAGTTAACAGTACGAAAATAGCGTTCTCTAAATTCTTCCAGTTGCTAGGGAAATTGTTTTATTATTATTATTATTAGTTACTTTGTTTAATAAATTCATTTCTTTTCGCCTTGAAAAGTCCACGTCGGACAAAACGGGTCGGCAACTATTACAGTTTACCCATTGTCATATATATATATATATATGTGTGTGTCAGTCATCCACGGACAAACTATTTCACTGTATCACAGCTCATCAGTGTAGCTAGACATCCGATTGCTTCAAGCCACGAGCGAAACACGACCAATTTGACATCAGTCGGAGATTCTAACCGCTAGGTGCCCGGCAGAATAGAAAGGCGAATTTTTGCGTATTAATTTCTTTTCATAAACACGCCAGTGACTTAGAGAACTCAATCCGTTGGTAGAGTCTTGCATTATACACGCATCCTTTTTTTATGCGGTCTAGCTTTCAATAACCATTACACATGGCGTCAATATAGACAATTTCAAACTTTCAGCTTTCCAAAGAATACAGGGATGAGGACAAAGGGATTATGACTATCAGACAGGCACCACATAGGTTCTTGAAAATGACCGAGATGGTCAAAAGTCCCTGAAGAAAACAATAACAACAAAAACAGGAACTTCGGAAAATTTATCCACAGTTTTGGTCCCAGGACACCACATCTTATTCGAAAATTGGAAAAATACAATAAAAATTTAAAACAGACAGGCCTTGTCGATTGAATTTAATAAAACCTTTATTGGATGAGTACTTGCTGCCTATATATATATATATATATATATATATATATATATATATATATATATATATATATACACACACAACACACAAGTAAGTTTACTCGTCCGGAAAAACCTTAGGTGTATTGGCTTGCAAACCAATACCTAAAGAAAAAAAAAAGAACTAAGAACATGTAATGTTGGCGAAAATAATCGACCAGAATCCAAGCTCAGAGTTCAAAGAAAAAAACCTCCGACACGAGTAAAATAAAAAATGACTAAGCAAAGTGCTCAATACGCTAAGTAGAGCAAATCTAAGAACCTAAAGAGCCAGGCAAACCTACCTAGGTTTTCACCTACGTACCCTGGCGATCCGCGTAGGTGAAACATAGGTTGGTTTGCCTGGCTCTTTACTTATATATATATATATATATATATATATATATATATATATGCCTATGAGTATGTGTAGAGAGTCCATCCTGAGTGGGTAACTGAATGGGGAAATTTGGCTTGACGAAGTGGTACTTGGACTTATACCAAGTTAAAACATATATTGGCAAATAATTAATCCCCAAACTGGAGTCAGACACTATGAAATTACAAAAATACATTTTTATAGTGAAAATATCAGCAAAACATTTTTGTTAAGAAAATTACTAATGCTCTCAAGAAAATTAAATTTCCACATTAAATGATCCATAAATAGTTGATATGCTGCTAAACAAACACACACACAATTCCCGTAAGTTACCTTTTCTTGTAGACTATTATTACTAAACGGCGAAGTAGGTTTTTTGTCAAAGTATTATGCCAAACTGTTATGGTCCGGTTCCTTGTACCACGGTGATAGTCCAAGGTAGAACAATAAAGAAAAACTCGAACACGGATATGGAATAACACAGATATATTACAAACAGGAATATATACATAGAAGTAGAAAGTGTTAGTACGAACAATCAGGTTTAGTAGTAATTTGTCTGAACGCAACTGTTTCGGACTGCCTCTGATTCGACTCTTGACTCGACTGACTGACTCGCTCGCTCTGACTGACTGACAGACTCCTGACGGACTTCACTCCAGACTTCAGGCTGAACAGTATTTAGTCACCCCCCACCCCACGACGGCATCATGTGGCACAAGGCCGGTTTAACGTGGGATCTCCGAGCCCGTGGGCTTGGCCAAAAATATGCCCTTTTAAAACCCGGTTTACCTCCCCGAAAGAGACTCCGCCCTTCGGCGTAGCCTCGTTCGGGTTCTCCCTGCTTCCTCTTTAAGGCGCAGTATTTATTACGTATGGAATAGTCCATTATGTTATTATGGGTAAGGTCCCATAACACAAACAAATCAGCTTCTTCAAATTTCATCGATTGGTTTGCGAAATTGAACAAAACCTAGGGTTTGTAAATCTCGATAAATCTAGTTAAAAAAACTGACTGAAACTTTACCATTAAAAAATCCTAATAGCATACTGATCGAAAAATTCAACAATGACAAGACTTCATACCAGTAATGACTATTTTTATACGGATTCTTGTCTTTTATTGTCGAATCCCAATTCTCGGATGTTTTATTTCAGAAACACATTTTATATTATTTTCAGTAATGCACTTTTTGTAAACAAAATTCAATAAACAATAAATGATATAATGTTGCAGAATTGGAGTTCTGGTTTATATTCTGCGTTTTAATTTTATGCAAAATGTGGTCAACAATAAAATGGAAAATGCAAAGACGAAATTGAAAACAATAGTTTAACTTAAATTTCAATCTTAATTTATCTTTAACTGCATTTCGGCCAGTTTCTCTTTCATTGGGCGAAAATCTATTCGGTAGGTCCTTGAAACCTAAGATTTCCCCTCTTGAACCTGATAGCTATCTTCATGACTTTTGGCAAACAATGATTTTTATTTGGATCGGAACTGTTGATATTGAGTACTCGTTTTTCTTCTAATTACCAGTTTACCAAATTTTCTTGTCTGTCTATATTTCCAAGATGAGGTATTGTAACTATTTACATCATTGTCATCATCTTTATTACAATATTCATGACGTTTCGGCTGCTGTACACACCGGCCTTGTTCAGGACCAATCTATATTTCTGGGATGAGGTATTGTAACTATTTACAATGTTCGAACTATGCCCGCATTCTTATTGTCATATTCACGAAGTTTCGGCCATTTCTACGCCCCGGCCTTCTCCAGGTGATTGGAATGTCTAACCAAAAACTTTGTTTTGTCCACCGGGTAATTGTTCTAGTTCCACGTGTCAGGCCTCTTCCGAATATCTCAGTTTCAGTTATTTGACCCAACTCTCCATTTTTTTTGTTCAAAACGTTTCCCCATACAACAAAATATTTATAATGTTCTCCTTGAAATAACGTGTTTTTTTTTGTGTTTTTTTTTTGTAGCCTATCCACACAGCGAAAAGCACTGCGGGAATCAGGATCTGGGATTTTATTATTCCACTGCCCCCGAAATACTGATTCGATTTGTATCGACAAGCTCCTATTACAGCGGTGCAGGCTTTCACGTTCGATTTAGCTTCCACACCTCGTTCACTACAGACCACAGCAACCAATCAGGCTCTGATGATATTATTGAACCAATGGATGGTAAGTTGAAAAATCAGAGTTCTTGATTTATTTCTAATACCAAGTTCCTTCAGAACATAGGAAACCATGACTTACCACAGATTCCTTTTTATCTGTGAATTAATGACTTATTCGGAAAGATAGCGAAGTGGTTTCCCATTGACTTCTCTACAGATTACTTTATTATCTGTGTATTGTCATGACTTCTTGGCAAAGATAGTGAAGTGGTAGGACAAAGGCGGAGAGAAAGACAAAGCATAGGACAGAGGCGGAGAGAGAGAGAGAGAGAGACAAAGCATAGGACAGAGGCGGAGGGAGAGAGAGAGAGACAAAGCATAGGACAGAGGTGGAGGGAGGGAGAGAGAGAGAGAGAGAGACAAAGCATAGGACAGAGGTGGAGAGAGAGAGAGAGAGAGACAAAGCATAGGACAGAGGTGGAGAGAGAGAGAGAGACAAAGCATAGGACAGAGGTAGAGAGAGAGAGAGAGAGACAAAGCATAGGACAGAGGTGAGAGAGAGAGAGAGAGACAAAGCATGGGACAGAGGTAGAGAGAGAGAGACAAAGCATGGGACAGAGGTAGAGAGAGAGAGAGAGAGAGACAAAGCATAGGACAGAGGTAGAGAGAGAGAGAGAGAGAGACAAAGCATAGGACAGAGGTGGAGAGAGAGAGAGAGAGAGACAAAGCATAGGACAGAGGTAGAGAGAGAGAGAGACAAAGCATAGGACAGAGGTAGAGAGAGAGAGAGACAAAGCATAGGACAGAGGCGGAGAGAGACAAAGCATAGGACAGAGGCGGAGAGAGACAAAGCATAGGACAGAGGCGAAGGGAGGGAGAGAGAGAGAGAGCCAAAGCATAGGACAGAGGCGGAGGGAGAGAGAGAGAGAGAGAGAGAGCCAATGCATGGGACAGAGGCGGAGGGAGAGAGAGAGAGACAAAGCATGGGACAGAGGCGGAGGGAGAGAGAGAGAGAGAGACAAAGCAAAGGACAGAGGCGGAGAGAGAGAGAGAGAGACAAAGCATAGGACAGAGGCGGAGGGAGAGAGAAAGAGAGAGAGACAAAGCATAGAACAGAGGTGGAGGGAGAGAGAGACAAAGCATAGGACAGAGGTGGAGGAGAGAGAGAGAGAAAAAGCATAGGACAGAGGTGGAGGGAGAGAGAGAGAGAGACAAAGCATAGGACAGAGGTGGAGGGAGAGAGAGAGAGAGACAAAGCATAGGACAGAGGTGGAGGGAGAGAGAGAGAGAGACAAAGCATAGGACAGAGGTGGAGAGAGAGAGAAAGAGAGAGAGACAAAGCATAGGACAGAGGTGGAGAGAGAGAGAAAGAGAGAGAGACAAAGCATAGGACAGAGGTGGAGGGAGAGAGAGACAAAGCATAGGACAGAGGTGGAGGGAGAGAGAGACAAAGCATAGGACAGAGGTGGAGAGAGAGAGAGACAATGCATAGGACAGAGGTGGAGAGAGAGAGAGAGAGACACAATGCATAGGACAGAGGTGCAGAGAGACAAAGCATAGGACAGAGGTGGAGAGAGACAAAGCATAGGACAGAGGCGGAGAGAGAGAGACAAAGCATAGGACAGAGGTAGAGAGAGAGAGAGCATAGGACAGGATATTACAATAGGACGTACGCTTACATCTAGCTATTTTAACATCCAAAGTTTAAGACATATTAGCCAATCTAATAGTACGCTTATATTCATATTTGTTGAAGTATCAAATGGGAGAACTCATTAGAACAATTGACATGAAAATATTTATAGAAAAGAAAGAGAGAAGTCATAGCGGTGGGAATGTGACTGAACGTCAAGATACCAGATAAGAACACAGAAAATTACAGATCCTTCTTTGGATTTTGTCGTCAATCTCGAGATGTATAGAAAGGGCACTAGACGAGATATCGCAGCAATATTCAATGCAAGATGGATTGTGGTGAGAGAAATTGGAGCACGACATAGCAAACCAACTTTCCTAGCAGCTGATCTAGCATTTGATTCAATATAATCCCCCTCCACTTGATGTCATTGGAAAATGTGAAACCAAAAAAGCGCAATGAATTTCTCTTCAGGAGGTTAGCATCAGCCATGCAAAAATGGTTCCTTTTTATGATTAAAGGATAGTAGTTTCGCTTTGGAGGCGTTTAAATGTACAAGCCATTTCTTGCCCCACTTAACAACTGACTGTATGTTGTTTTCGAGAACAGCTGCCAGTTTAACTTTGTCGTTTTATCGGACTTACTATTAAGTAAATAGTTACATAAACAGCCAATTGGGACCATGAACTGATCAAAAAAAAAAAAAATTTAGATGTCCACTCTCGAATATGTAATATAAAAAAAAAAAAAACATCTTTGTCGTAACCTGTAGGCTTCATATTTATTCACGAAATATGGCAGAAAGAGAGTCACATCTGTGGTTGGGTTTGTCAGAACCGTGGAGGTCGCATATTTCTGTGGTAAAGCAAGAAATCTAATCTTTTGCACAGAGATCAGATGTTCTTGTTTTGCTGTACGAGACTTGTTGGGTTGGCTGATTTTACATGACAACTTTTGTCGGCCTATTTAACACCGAATAGTTTGTGTGAGGCGCCCGGTGTTGATGAGAAAACCTGGCATTTATAACGAAAGATATCTGACTTGCTTATTTACACGCCGAGGACATAACGGCTGAAACGTTGTGATAACGACAAACATGGAAATAGTCAGCGTGAAAATAATGTACATAAACCATGATAGCTCCTCATCCCATAAATTCAAACAGAAATCCCAATTTCATGTCTGACAAGCAACATATCATAATGGTGAGAGATGCCTATGAATTAGACGGGTGGTATTTCATAATCAGACATCATCAAACTGCCAACAGACTGAAGAACTGAGTTAGGAGGTATTTCATAATCAAGCCACAACCATTGCCAAGGCGTGCCTATGAAATAACAATATGCAATAGACAATATTCCAATTATCAAATATTTTGATATTCTGAAATATCCTAGGTTTAAAGGCCCTAAATAAGACTTTTTTGTTAGGACGAGGACTTTTCAGCACCCCCTACATATAATACAAAATAATTTATGGCTAAAGCGACTAAATCCTTTATTGCCGGGGACAAAATTGAATTTTAACAGAAAACCCTTTTCAAGTTGATTTGATTATCTAAAACAAGTTTAATAAATTCCTTTTTATTATTGTTTTTTTTTCTCCTTTTTTTCCAGAATGCAGGCACATCATCGACACAAAAGGTGTGAAATTAGAATCTCCGGGCTTCCCAGAATCCTACCCGTCAAACCATCAATGTGTGTATATCATCCGCTCTCCCCCGGAAGAAACGGTGACACTGACCTTTCACAAATTCAAATTAGAGAAAGGGGAAAACTGCCAGTACGATTATGTTAAGATCAAAGATGGTGAAAGTGCAGGTAAGCGCAACAATTGTCGATTATTTGAAACGTTATTCTAGACTTTTAGAATTCTTCTCGCGTAGAAGTTTGTTAATTTCACTCGGGTGATGGCGTCCGTTTTAAATAAGGGAAAATTGGAAAGCTTTTACACTTTAAAATTTTCTTAAACTGTGCAAAATTTCAGAGTTTTTTTTTTTTAAGAAGGGATGAACAGAATTGAAATAAAACTGTTATTGTAAGTGTCGGATTTCCTTTGACACAATGACATCACACCCCATTCACTATGTGTAGTGGCACACTCAAATTGAGACAGTTAAAAGTAGGAAAACACATTTTAAAGTGGCTGATTCAATCACTTGAAGACTATTAAATAAAATGTCGACAAATCCAAAAATAAAATAAAAAACTTATGAGGGGTTGTCCTGACGCATACGAGAGATAGAAGAGTGTCTGGGAAGAAGTAGATGTATGTATGTATCCAAATATATTAACCGCTGCTTGGCCATGTGGTGAAGGAATGTATGTTTGTAGCGAGGACGATTTAGCCATATAAGTCATCATGCAAATGTATTTAATCGGAGACATCGGAGAATGGATAAAATTAATTTTTTGACTGGTTTTGGTCGATTTTCCATCGTTTTTATATACACATCTATAGATACGGATTGAAAAGGCTACTGGTTTCTCATTGGTTCGCGGTCTTATATAATGGTTGTGAAAGCTCTCTGATTGGTTGGTCGAAGTACTTTTTAGAGATGATCAAATTTTGGTCTCCTTGTTATTATTTGTTTACTTTTCTTCTTGCACCCTGGTTGTGAAAGCGTTCTGATTGGTTGGTTGAACTATGAACTTATTTGCCTTGCGATTTTTATTACCCGTCTATTTTTGCAGGTGATGAAATTTTGGTATTCTTGTTACGTATTTTTATTTATTTCTCTATCATCATAAGAGTATAAAGAGAAATTAATTTTAGGGATGACGCGTCATTCTTTACATTAAAACTAATATCCTCATCTTTGCTCTAATTATAATAACGTCTTGAGTTTTGTAATCTGCGATTTTAAGAATTCCCTGAAGGTTACTCGGATCTACAGGTACCTGAAGACGACCGAAGATCATAACGGTCAAAACTTTGTTGTTGGGACATTAGTCTCAACAACAAATGTAGATAATACCATGATGAAATTTAGAGTTAAAAAGAAATAACTAGTCAAATAAACAATGTCTAATTGTTTTGGCTCGATGCACATCCAACCTAAACTGATGGAGAACAAATTTTAAATAAACAGTGATGATGATTTAAATGCTTACCAAGCATCGAGGTGGGGGGGTTGTAATATTTCGATAGTCGCCTGTTTTGCAAATGTTCTTATCCCGCAAGCAACTGTTAGTGAATTCGTTTCTCACTGGGCTTTCCAGTTTGGATTTGAAGTCGATTCAACGTACTTCTGAAATAACTTGAAATTTTCATTTTGCTGTAAGCTAGGCAAAGTATTAACAGGGAAATTTCGATAGAAACAAAAGAAAAAAATACTGGACTATTACTTAATATCAGCCGTCCTATATGGCAGTGAATGCTGGGCCATCTCTTCACAGATAAAGAGACTTAAAGCAACAGAAATGTGGTTCTACAGAAAAATGCTGAGAATGCCATGGACCGAACATATGAACAACAAAGTTTTCGAGAAAGTGGCAACAAAAAGGATACTTATATCAGGAAGAGACAGTTAAGAGGGTACATAATAAGGAAAGAAGGCTTGGAAAATTTGATACTCACAGGAGATATTGAAGGGACAGAGGAAAAATAACACAAACTGTCTAACGAGATTGTGTAAATGAATGGTAGAACGGGGATTAGTAGAGATAGCCAAAAGGTAAATTTTACTGAGAAGCTACAAAGAACAGGACATTGTGGCGAGTCATCACCAACGTCCAGAAGTGGCATGGGGAAGAGATGTTTGTCGAAGTTCAATTTTGATGTTATACAATGTAAAAATATTTTCAATATATTTCTTGGAATTTTATAGCCGCTGATGTTTTGGATAAATTGTGTGGCGTTCAAGACAACAAGACGTACAAGTCTAGTGGGAGGTCACTTCGATTGGATTTTGTCACTGATGTTGGTGTCAGTTTTATGGGATTCAGTGCCACGTATACTTTCTCAAGTAAGTAAATTCAAAATTTCAATTATATTTTATAAAATAAAAGGAAATATAGAATCGATGTGGAAGAAAACCTCATATATATGTGTGTGTGTGTGTGAATGGTAATACTTGTTTTGAAAAACCTCGGTTGGCTCAACTTGTAATATAACAAATTGATGTCCGAGGAAAAAATGGAAATAAAAAAAAGAAAGTACCAATTGTTATCTTGTCTTCTTAACTGTCGTTCTTTTATTGTCCTTTCGCCTTAATGTTTTTCTTATATTCTCTCACACCCACTTACGTCTTCGTGGCATTATTGTTTAGCTTGGGGTGAAATGATAAAACAAAAAGAAACGAATTATACATTTTTTTTCTTTCTTCCTGCAGATTGTCCTTTACGGTGTTACAATGGTGGGACCTGCCATAATAATACGTAAGTGTCCGTCTTAATAAAAATCATAATACACAGTTTTTTAACTTCTTTTTTTCAGATAGTATTTCATTACACACACACACACACACACACACACACACACACGGCTTATAACCATATCACATTGAAACACCTTTTCTCGTACGATGACCGAAGTTAAACAATGCCGAACTTGGTCAGTAAGTAGATCAGTGACCGCTTTGTAAGTTTGTATGTGCGGGTGGTGTTTGGGATAACGGCTCGAAATTGGAAGTTGGAGAGCAGAGTTCCAATTCCAGTCGGTTTGGTTATATTCACGCAAATACCCTTGGATAAGATATGAATCCACCTCTTCTCCCCAGCTATGGGTTAATTGGTAAGACTTGTATCAGTAAAGTCATTATCATTTCCGGCTTTAAATAATCTGCAAAAGGTTGATAAGCCGTAAAAAACATCAGCCAATCAATCACGCACTCAAATTCTGCATTGTTTTAACGTCCAATACTGTAAAAAAAAATTATAAAACATTGATATTGAAGAATACTTGTGTTTCGTAATTTTAATTTCAGAAATGGCTTAAAAATTAAACACAAAATCTTAGGTTAGGCAGAAAGTTGTTATAATTGCAAATTTAGGAAATAAAGAAAAAGTTTTGAGTGAAATGGAAGTTCGTTTGCAATGTTTTTAGTTTAAATAAAAGGTTTGTACGTATATATGTGAATAAAAGAATGGATTTGCATACATAGTCCGGTAAAATCTAAGCTGTTTCCTCGGCATAAGCTTGTCAATATAAGTGAGTAGACAATTGGCAACGGTAGCAAAGCGGATCCTTTTGAAGCAAGTGTGTCTCTTGAATTTTGGGTCGCCATATTTGCTTCTATTAGGTTGGTGCAAAAATAATGACGTAATAATGTCGTTTTTTGACGTTAAAAAGTACGTCAAAAAACGACATTATTTTTGCACTAACCTAATATTAGGTTGGTCAGGAAGTCCTGACTCACTTAGGAAGCAGAAAGAAAACAAAGTTTTATGGAGCAACACCAACATTTAATCTTCAAAATAAAGCCCATCATTCTTGAAATGTGTAGGATACATAAGGAGGAAAGAGGGCTTGGGAAATTTGATACTCACAGGATAGATTGAAAGCAAGAGGAACGGAAGAAAACAACGTATAACCTAGCTAGTGAGCATGAATAAGTAACTGGCGGAACAAAATTACAAAAAGACAATTTATTAAGAACTACAAAGGACAGGAAATTGTGGAGAACCATGATCGCCAACGTCCTAAAGGGACACGGAACAGACGAAGAAATCGGATCATTGATTAAGAATCACAGCTATAGTAAACAGGAGTGGTGTTCTTGCTAAGCAAAATAAACCTGTGGGGAAACAAACACGAAGCCATAAAGATTTCGGTCACTGAGTGAGGAGTGGCTTTACAATAATATTTGTTAATATACCGTCCTGGGTAAGGCGATAAACTACATTCAACAACAAGGAATTTGATCAAGAGGATTTGAGGAGCTTGGAACCTCTTAATTGCTGGTGTTCACAGGTCCACCCTGACCTGGGGTGGTAGAATCTGTTAGGGTCCCAGCTATAGGCAAATAGTTAACCCCCAATTTGCGGTCAAAACACTATGAAGGTGTAAATAATGTTTTAATACCAGTAACACATTTTTGCAGAGTATTATTACCAGCAATGAATTTTGGAAGAGAAAAAAAGTTACCAGCAATGAATTTTGGAAAAGAAAATGCTCTTGTCGGCATTAAATAATCCACTGAGGTTGATTTGCAGTAAAAGAAATCAAAGCAATTTGCTAATATAATTATTTTGCAGTGACGTCGACGGCTGAAGTTGGAATCTTTCGATTCTAATCTTATCATTCGGTTGTTTACTGAAATAATCTAGTGCTTAAATAAACAATGATGAAGCTGCCCTTGGAGACAGACCAAGAATTTTATTTTAAATTATAGCATAGAAATACCAAATAGAACGTTTAAAATTAACCCTTCACTGTAAAAAAGATATTTTTAGTCAAAATATTAAAATTGCTGTTAAGAAAAAATCGAATGTTCTAATATTTGTGTGCAATTTGCTTTTTTTTACAGATGCAAATGTTCATACGGTTATCAGGGCCCCCAGTGTCAATACCACAAGAGCTGCAAAGATAAACCTTGCGAAAATAATGCCACATGTTCAGAGAGGAGAATTGGTTATCATTGTCACTGCACAACTCAATACACCGGATACAATTGTGAAAGAGTAAGTGTAACAAGAATTCCTAAAAATAAAAGATATTTTACATTCTTTACATTGTTCCGTTGTCCTCATCTTTTTTTGTTGTATTCGCGACGTTTCGGACGTTTTACTATCCGGCCTTCTTCAGGTGATATAGACTGGAATTTTGAAACAAAAAAAAATGGTTCGGTTCGAAATTCCAACATATATCACCTGAAGAAGGTCAAAGCGTACAACGATCGAAACGTCGTGAATATAACAACAGAGATGAGGACAAGTCCAAACAATGTAACTAGTATAAATAGTTACAATACCTCATCTTACAAATATAGAAAGATATTTTAATATTTGTCGAGATTCCATGGCGTATTTATGTAGTTTAGTAATGTTTTATTTTTATAATACAGAAAAATATTATAGTTCATATATTTTAGATTTGACTATACACCTCGATTACTTTCATTATCTAAGACAGCAAAAGTCAATATTACTTGTAAAAATAAATAAATAAATAAAAATAAAACTAATTTTGGACTACGACATTCTGAAATTAAAAAAAAAACAAAAACAAAAAACAACGTGTATAACGCGTATTGACTTTTCCTTTCATTATTAATATGACAGATTCAAAAATTAAGTAATTATCGGTTTCTATTAGGTTGGTGCAAAAATAATGACGTAATAATGTCGTTTTTGGACGTATTTTTTTAAAGTCAAAATACGACATCATTACGTCATTATTTTTGCACCAACCTAATACTATAATTATAAGGTTTCTATCTATAACATATTAGAGCTCACTGTCACATATTTGAAACGGTGAACGTTAAGGCTAATGAGGTGTTTAGACAGAGAGAGAAGAAATATGTTAGTTTTCTCTACTCTCCAAGGCCCACTATAGGCATTACTATACCCGTGATATTTTAGCACCTTAACACGACAGAAGGAAGGAATAGAATTTCGTCTGTTTTAATGTGTGATGGTAATTTTTATCGTTTTTCTGAATTTTTTCTTTCCCTTTACTATGTGCATTTATTTCATTTCCTACTATTTTTCTGTCTTAAATTTTCTCTTAATACTTACCTCAGAACATATATATGTGTGTGTGTGTGTGTATTTATGCACATGCATGCACGCCCACATAATTTACTTACACATTAATTTATTGTTAATTCTCGAGGTCCTTACATTTAACGGAAGTTTTTCCAGCGTGGTAAACTGAGCATTTAACCGTAGAACACTAACCATCAATTAAAAGTTACACCACTACTAACCATGGGTATATCATACCCGATTTTGAAAATATCAAAAAATAGATAAATAAATAAAATAATAATAAAATCTTTATTTGAAATATTTTACATGCAGGCACTTCAAACTTAATACTTTCAGTTAATATTAATAGGAACTGAAAAACATTTAGGTAAGAAAATCAGGTACTGAAAATTGTAATTAAAAATAGGTAAATTTGCGCTGGGTACTATATACCCAGGGTTAGTGTTCTAGGATTAAGTCTGTCCGCTTTCCTAAAAAGTGGATATTGGTTTACAGCCGTTTCACACTCCGGGTCCTCACTCCCTTCCTCCGATCCATAATGCTTCTCCTTTGTAAGCCTGATTTATTTGCTGAATAGATAACTTGCCTATTGCATGTGCCCACCCTTGTAAACATTGAACTAATTCTAATGGGAGTAGGAGATGCACATAGAGTCCCTGTTACACACTCGCAACATATTCTTCCAGTGGGTCTTTTAGTCCACATAGACATGAGCGAACTTGTCTTGGTACCTTTCTGACCCAAGGAAGAGTTCCGTTGTCTTGGCTTCCTTCCAGGCAGACACGATATGTCCACTCAGATCATCACACATGTATCATCTTTCCTGGGTTGATTGTCCCTTCAGGTGCTGGAATTAGAGGTTTGCTTGGTTTTGGCGTTATCCGTTTGATAAAGAACCAAACCTTCGAGTAACTCCGAAGGGGGCTATTCTATCAGGTGTATAATGTCGGGGCTATTGTACTGCCATTTTGTCAATGGTTTCTGGACCGTGCAATAGTCTCCGGTGTTGAATCTCGATGTCATGATATAAGGTATTTCTACGGCAGCATCTCTGGAACATTCTGTCCAGGTTATTTATACATGCAACTCCTGTGGGTGGGTGTCTCGTTACCTACTAGTTTTCCACTTACACACATGAAACCAATAAAATTTTAAAATATCAAACCATAAACCGATATCAATGCCTCAAACACCTCATAGTCCCAGTATGCTAACCTCTTATAGCAAAACACGACCACCTAAGTAGTCACAACCTCGGACTACATCAAGGACGAGTCTCCCTGTAGCAGAGACGAAACAAAAAACAAAAAAAAAATGGGGACCCTGATCTCCCGAATATGTTCTTGTGCGTGGCCCTTATCCATTGTTTCACATTCGTCTTTGCTCTCTATGGCCCTCAAAACGAAGGGACGGTAATCTCCGACGGGATATCTCAGAAAATGGATAATATCCGCGTTCAATTTCCTTCGGTCAGCTTTCATATCTGCGGTGACTTCAATATCCACTATAAAGAACGGTTAGTCCATTCGAACAAAACCGATGAAGAAGGCAGATATTACAGAGACTTCTCCATCGCCTATGAACTAACTCAGTTCCTCGGAGAACCTACCCGGGTCCTGGACACGGCGGGACATCGGATGAAACTCCTAGACCTCTTTCTAATCTTCTGCCCTGATAAATGCTTAGCAGATGTTTTACTCACTTGGCAGATCAGACATTTTCCTAATCAGTGTCTAAAGTTTCCGCGTCCGGGGTATGACAAACTACGTCCAACAGCAAGGAGGTTTTGCGGAGCGTGGAACCACCTCTTAGTTGCTGGTGTTCCCAGGCCCACCTTGATCCTAGAAAGTAGCACCTGTTTGGGTGTTAACTATTTGCCCATAGCTGGGACCCTAACTTGTGAGTGAGTGAGATAATATTATCAGCAATAAAAATTTTGTCGGCATTAAATAACCCATTGAGGTTGATATACCGTAAAACAAAACAAACCTAAAGCTTCCCCTGGTGTACCATTCCATAGAAGGACTTTTGCTGTAGGAAGTTAGATTGGGACAGCTTTCGTTCCTACTGATGGAAGCTCCTCTCAAACTTCTTCAAGCAAATTCCAGCAAAAAACAAAGAGGCCTGGTCCCCCCCCCTGAATGCACTGCAGCCATAACTGCATTCAGAAATGCCTACAATCACTGCAAAAAATTTCTAGAATACGCCAAATGCAGCTACGCACGAACAGCCCAGACCAAGTTTGAAAAGAAACAAATTGGATCCCGTGAATTTCTAGAAGATCATCAACCAAACCATGAACAGAGGCAAAGTGGCTGTGCCCACAATTATAAATGGCCTCGAGGTTATATCTTCGGACAATGCGAACCTCTTCGTCTCGATATTTGCCTCTGACTCAATGTTAGATGACAAATGCCATTCCCTCCCCAACTTCCCACAGAGCACAATCTCAGTAATATTACCATCATAGTACGAGGAATATCCAGAATTATCAAAAGGTAAGAAAACTACTGGCCCAAAATTACGGTGGTTGTTCTTAAAAAATATCAACCCGGAATTATCCCCAATTCTAGCGAATTTATTCAACCGCTGCTTGAAGGAAAAATCCTTCCTAACCTTGCGGAAGGTGTCAATCGTATGCCCGGTTTTCAAGATCGCGGGCGTGTGACCTTCCCCCCTCACAGTACAGAACTCTCAGTCTCCTCAGTGAGCTTTTTGAGGAAATAATCAATAAGAAGTCGTCGAACACCTAAAAAAGAACAAGCTCTTCAGCGACGAGCAGTATGGGTTTCGATCGGCCCGATCCACTGCTGATATCCTACCATCACTCACAGAATCAGAGGACCATAGCGTTAGATATCTCGAAGGGCTTCGACAATATGTGGCACAAAGGCTTACTATACAAGCTCTCCATTACAATCTTAACCTATTCAAGGCTAGGTTTAACCGTTATCTTCCACTCCTATACACACAAATGGCCTACTAACGTAACCCTCTACCTCGAGTGGCCCCAGGATCTTGTAAAAGGGTGAATGTTACTGTAAACAAAAAAAAACAAACACATGAAATCAATACGAAAAATGAGTTATACATTAAAATTTTTTATATATAATATTGACATACACAAGTAAGAATCAAAGAAAATAGCAAAGTGTGTGTGTGACAAAGAGTATAAAAAAAGACATTAAGAATTATACGAAGAGGACGAATAAAAAGGGTTTACTTGTAATTTCCCCAGGAGGGACAAGGTAGAGCTCTGGTGATATTGTCTTGTTCCTATTCAAGATGCATGCGAATTGCGCCGGTCAGTTAACCATAATTGGTTACGGTATCCATCTTCGTCGGGTGCTAAGCAGCCCCTGACTATCCTTACCAACTGGCTATCACTTGATCTTCAAGAACCTCTTAAGACATCAGCCACTTATTTCTGTCAAAAAAGAGGCAATCACCTTCTACATCCCTACAAAGGTTTCAGCTTAAGTAAAATTAACTCAGCCATTTTAAATTATTTTTTCTTGTCTCTAATCAGTGTTAATTTCGAAAAGTGGTTTTGATGGAAATGGCTCGTTATTTGACGGATTTACTTTAGCGATTATCAAATAATACAGGCCAGAAAATTAACTCCTACTCCCTCATTTTTCTTCTCCTTGCATAAACTACAAACTTTGCGTCGTAGTGAGTGAAGAACCAGTTTTTTTTTTTGTTTTTTTTTCTTTTCAGAAAAAATATGAAGTAAAGCTGACTGGCAGAGAACGTGTTCAACGAAGGGACAACGTGGAATTTAAATGTTTCTTGAATGGGAAAGCAGCGAGAAATGCCAAATGGTAAGAAAAAAAAATCATTCATATGTATAATACGACCCCGTAAGAATGAATACTTTTATCAGATTTCTCAAATGAATAGAGGCGCTTACAGCCAGGCACCGGTCATCTTACGATCACCCAAGTTAAGCAACTGGTTAGTACCTTGATGAGTGACTACTTGGAAATACCAGGTGTAGTAAACTTGGGTGGGTGGGTGGTTGGTTGTTGTAATGGATAACGGCTCAGAATTGGAGATGGTAGAGTAGAGTTTCAATTCCAGTTGGGTTCGTTATATTCAATTACGCGTAAATATCTTCAGGAATTGTATGAATTTACGTTTTCACCCGCAAACTATTGGTTACTTAGTAGGACTTGTATCAGTAAATCATTATTATCTATAAAATATTAAAATCGAAAAATATTTATTGGCTTTAAATAACCGGCAAAGGGTTGATAAGCCCTTAAAAAAAAAATAAATAAATAAATAAATAGTCATGAAAAAAAAAAAAAAAAAAAAAAGATAAATTATTTTAATATGAAGATAGATTCATGATCTATAAACAGAAATGAAATTTCAATAATGCAGTTTGTGTTGTTGGTCAGAAGAATATGCTGATGGAATAAACTCACCAAGCCAGTTACTCTCTAATATCTGTGGAAAAAAAAAAAATCGATAGGTAGAGAAAGCTTTAATTCATCAAGAAAAAATTACAAAAAACGCGATTTTAAAAAATTGTCTGAATTTCTGGGATGAGGAGATATCATTATTTACATAACAGCTCAAAAGTTTGAGGCACCCCTGGTAATTTTTTAAATTGGCCCCAAATGTAATTGTTTTGTATTTTAAATAAGAGAAAATTATTATACATTACTTCGCAAAGAAAGATATATTCACTACTTGAAATCTTTGAAACAAAATTTTTAAATGAACATTTCATTCATAAATTGGCTTAAGTTAAGGAAAGTTTTACAAATATTGAAGGCCAAGTAAAATGCAAATTTCAAACACTTTTCTGCAGAATGTAAGACGATATTTTTAAACAGAACTGATAATCAAAACAATCATCGAATAAAAAAAAAAGCAGTAATGAAAGGATAGTTAATGAAAAACTTTTAAAAATCAATATGCAAATTAGTTAAATCTGAAGAGTGATAGTACATAGAAGATGATATATAATGCAAATATTGAGCTTTTAGTGTGAAAATTACCCTCTCGAGTAGTGTGTAACACCCTATTGGGCAGAGGGCTCTCAGGGGCGGCTCCGTCGAAATTGAGGAGAATTATACTGAGAGGTTACCAGCCCTGAGGAACAGCTGCCCGAGGCCGCGCCCTCTCATTGCTCTAGAGAAAGGGATTGGTGCTCGGACAGAAGTCAGCGCAACCGACGGTTGTGGGGGCTGCGGGCAATTTTTGTTCCTAGCCCGGGTGTACGCGTTCGGGATCCCCACATTAAACCGACCTCGTGTCACAACGATAATTAAAAAAGCCCAAGCTCTACTTTATAAAGATGGTAAAAAAGTGTTCGACTTATTAAATATTTTCTTATAGCAAAAAGAAAAGAAAAAAAGTATTTTATGATAAAAATTTGGCTCTCATCAAATATCCGCCTTTAGCCGTGATTACTGCAGTACAATGTTTGATAACCGATTCCATTCTTTTTCAGTAACTCTAAGAGTCACTTTTATTTTTTTTATCACTCTTCTTTCAATTTCATTCCATGCTAATTCTGGGGGTGGCTTCAAACTTTTGAATTGTAATGTGCATTATTCATATAGAAATAGAGCTGAAATTTATGAGCATTTCCTTGCAGTGAGCGTTGTATCTTATGGTATTATCTACTTTTATCTGTCTTATATCAAAAGTTCTCTTTTGGTTGCTTGTAAAATAGCATCATGGATTAAGGCAGGTGGATTTTGGAACCGTGGTATTACACTCAGTTTGAAAGTTGGAGTTTGACGTGATAAATGACGTCACAAGTTACATTTTCGAAATCGTTAACATTTTTTTTGGGAAACGAGTTTAAAGATGAAGTTTAGGTTCAAAATCGTAGCGTTGGGATTTCATTCCAGTGATCAGTAAAAGCCTTATAGCAAGGCCTTATAAAATTTACTGCAGCTTTATAAATTGCATATGGACAAGACGAATGGCACAAGCATATTATTACTAAATCATTGTGCCATCAAATAAGACCATCATTTACTTCAAAGAGAAATTTCACTGAACAATTTAACGATATTATGATTTTATTCAATGCAGTTTTAGTGTGATTTTCAATAAACAATGTAAATTTAAAACATTTTGTTTCATAATTTGTGCCCAATAGTATTATGATGTTATATACATTTATCTACATTTTGTTTTTATTAATTATGAGCTAACAAATCTTATTGCTTGAGTAGCTTTAATCTTTTACATTTTTTTTTACGGTTTTTACTTATCGAATACAGCAAAAAATAGCAAATTTCGCTTGTATTAATTTATAAATAGAATTTATGAATGAACATTTTCCATTCAATGTATGGAATACAAAAATATCAACTTTATTTGGATTTATGCTTGAAATAGTAAAATTTTAAAGTCAGTTTATAAACAGGAACCTGCGGAAATTAGTTATTTCGGTACATTTTTCAGACGACCTTTAAAACTAAATGCTAAGAATTGATAACAGCTATGAACCTAATTTTTGGTGTCAATAACTATCACATCGAACACTAGCTTACACATCGAGGGCAATGTTGATTTTTCTAAATGTGAAAAATAAGCCTGCTCTAATGATGAATATGTGCACGAATTGCACTAAGTTGTGACAAGTGAATCTATGAGGGACTGTGGTACATGTGTGGGCAACATAGGAATCCAATGTTTATATGATGCAATCTCTCTCTATATATATATATATATATATATATATATATATATATATATATATATATAAAAAAAAAAGAAACACAGACCACTTTAAGGTACCATTATAATAATTTATTTCACCAGAGTCCTTTTAAAGGACGCCGAATCATCAGATAGCACTTCCAAAAACGAAATGAAACGAAAAATGAAATTAAAATTGATGGGCAGTGTAAGTTTTTGTAATTTAACAGAGTGTAAAAGGGGTAGTTAAAGAGACATGGTAGAGTATAGGGAGGGATTAATTTCATATCTCTCTTAAGTATATTTTATATTGGGTGTAGGAGGAATGACCAGACCTATTTAGATGGTTGACAACGGAAGTGATATATAGAAATGGGAGGGGAGTAGGGAGAAAAGAAAAAGGAAAAAGAAAGAAGAGGGAAGTAAAGAGAAAGAGGTTGTAATTGGGTTTTAGCAATTTATGTAAAGAATAGATTTTAATGCTTGAAATTTTTTGAAACTTGGAGATGAGTTAAAGGGAGATAACCGATACCGAAATATCCGGAAGAGGCATGTCACGTGGAACTAGAACAATCTACCCCGGTGGACGAATTAAAGGGTTCAGTTCGAAATTCCAATCCTCCGAAGACGACCAGAGTGTACAACGGACGAGACGTCGTGAACAGGGCAACGAAGATGAGGGCAACAGTTCGAACTATGTAAATAATTAGAATACTTCATCTCAGAAATATAGACAGATCCTGAAGGATGCCGGAACGTACAACGGTCGTAACGTCGTGAATATGGCAAAGATGAGGGCAACAGTTCAGCCAATGTAAATAGTGTAAATAACTGATAATTATTTTGTTCTGTGTTTTTTTTTTTTACCAGGTTTTTCAACGAAAACAGGCTTCAGGTCCATACAAATGACCGCGCCCAAATTGATAAACATGTTTTATATATTCACCATGTAACCGAGGAAGACGAAGGCGACTATTTATGTGCAGTCTACAAGGATGACAACGCTTATTACGACGTTAAAAAACTGAAGGTCAGCGCTCGATGCCGTTTGAGTAAGTCATCTTTCTCCTTTCTATGTTAGTCGTTCAGCATTTCTATAGTTGATCCGAGGGTGGGAATTTAAAAAAAAAATCATTAGTCTCATTGTTGATCAAACAACTGACCAATGTGTCGAAATGACAATTGAACTTAAATGATGAATTAAGATCCTTTTCTGGAGATCTTTATGGTCTAACAATCCCATTGAGTCGTTAGATCGCTCTCACTTCGATCCTGACGGAAGTGTCGCGGGGATTAGTACAAAATTAGTCAAATACCAACTGGGAAACTTAATTTAAGGAAATTAACACCTCCGACCTTGGATTAGCACTTTCCCCAGTTAAACCTTTCCCTATATTGTTTCCATGTGTTAACTTCTGCCGAATCATTGTTTTTAGAGGTCAACCCAGCTCAGCATTTATGAATGATCACTTCATTTAGCCGTTTTAATAATCTCTAAAAAAATAAAATATTTATCTGTGTTTAGATAAAATTAGTTCCCGAGCAAAATAAACCGTTTAATTAATCAGTTCCTTTACTCCTAAATTTCCTAGATTAGAGTCTTATTCGTTCAAGCCTTTCATGTGAGGCACTCAGATATCTTTATTAAGGGATTGTCTTGCTTCAACTTGGTGGTCGTCTCTGTCGTACCGTTGGTAATCTTTTTCTTCTGAGAGATAGTTCCATTTCACTGCTATATTAAACACAAAATTTTTAACATGAAAGGATTGGTCAAAAAGCGATTTATATAATACCCGGATTAGTCTATGAATCATGGATACCATTGAACGTCTAAGAAATATAAAAGAAACGGATTAATTAAAAGGTTCATTAGCATCAATTTTAACTATGAATTCCTTATCTCTGCTTTATTGAATCTCAATACATTGTTTCAAGACTTTTCTTTCATTGCATCTCACTATTAAAACTTTCGAACAATTGCCGCCATTTTTGATGGCACTTGATACTCTAGTTAATAAAAAGTGTGAGAGATTTAGTCTTGTATTTGGTGCTTTACAGCGATAACGTTACATATCCGCCTAAATGTTTCGTTGTGTGTCTTACTCTACTCTGCAGAGCATGTAATCGGCGTATTCCGGTTCCAGCCGACAAGGCAAGGATTTTTTATAGGATAACGATAAACAATCAGGTTATAGGAGAAAAGAAAACGTTTATTTTGCTTTTTATTAAAACAAAACAATGTACAGTTATCAGCAGGATGAACAGACCAAAACTTCAATTACGAAGAGGACAAATCGTTTCAACCAATGACAGAAATTGTGACACTGAAATCCGAAGGCGCATTGGGAGAGAGAAAATGTCTTCCAAAAGCTAAACAAGGTATTAAGAAACAGGAAAATTTCGTTCGAGATAACGAGTACTGAACTGCTCTGTAATATAATTCCTCCTATGTTAGTAAATGCTGGACAATAGCCTCACAGATGAAGAGACTGGGGGTAACAGAAATGTGGTTCTACAGGAGGATACTGAGAATAACATGGAGTAAAACTTTTTGACAGGTGCAGTCTTAACTAGTCTTTTATAATTACCGTATGATTCATGTGTTAGAGGAATGCGGAGGGACCTCAGGTGCTCGTTAATGGCTTTGGGGGAGGGAGGAGATTGCACTAGGGATGTTCTTGACCGCAAAACTCACTTAATGTATCCGGCGTTTAGGAGCTGGTTTCCCTTTCCAGAAAATGGAATATCCGAATACTGCTTTGTTAATTCTTTCTTCATCTAACATTCTGGTTTTAGGGAGGACCGCTATATCGATGTAGATGCGTGTGAGCTCCTTGCAAACGAGGACAGTCCTCCTTTCACGCCATTTGGAAAATCGCGGCGTTCTAACGTTCCACGCGCTAAGAATCACGGAGGACTAGTTGGGATAATTGATAGATTCGACTGCAGAAAATGGGCACCAACTGGGCGCGATTTCCCAGCCGGTTGAAGGTGACGGCATCCAATGTTTAGCCCACATTTTATAGGGCCTCTCCCGATTTGGGATACCTGGCAAGACTGGGTCATGAAAAACAGAGTTCTCCTCCGCGCAAATAACCTAGAAGCCATTATCACATGCCACCGACTTCGATGGTCCGGACGCCTTGCCCGAATGCTAGGCACTTTCCTACCTAAACAAATACATTTCTCAGAGCCCCACGTCGTCGATTCAAGGATCAGCTCAAAAACAATCTGCTGAGAACAGAAACCGATCTGGTCAATTGGAGAAGAGCAGCCCACGAAAAAAACAAAAAAAAAACAACATTCTTCGAAAACACCAGAAGACAAATAGAAGAGAGGAAAAGAGCCCCCCAAAAGTCAGATCTCCCCATCCTCTGAGCCCTCCTTTCATAGTATTCTGTGGCTGCGGACGTCTCTTCAAATCCAACATAGGACTCATTTCTCACAGGATGAAATAATGATGAGCACCCCAATGCTAGACGTCCGCCTACCCAAACAAATACGATTTTCAGAGCTTGCATCTGGCAAGAGATCATGTGGAGCTCTATGTCGTCGGTTCAAGGATCAGCTCAAAAATACTTTGCTGAAGACAGAAATCGATCTGTTCAATTGGGAGAAGAAAAGCTGTAGAAAGGATAATGTGGAGAAGAGAAGTCCCCGAAAAAACAACATCCTTCGAAAACACCAGAAGACAAATAGAAAAGAGGTAAAGGTCCCCCCCCAAAAGTCAGAGCACCCCATCCTCTGAGCCCTCCTTCCATACTATGCGGTGGCTGGGGACGTCTCTTCAAATCCAAACATAGGACTCATTGCTCACAGGATGAAATGTCGATGAGCACCCTAATACTCGGCAACGAGTTCCGCCAACGACGACAATGATTCGTGTGGTATTTGCCGATTTCTTTTACGCGGTGGAGTATTTATCAACCAATCAGAATTAATCAATCGAGATCCTTGCTTATTCTCACGATGAAGTATTTTTCTATCAATCAGGATAAAACATTTCACCTAATGAAGATTTTAGTTTTGAAATCTGCCTTCTGTTTTCATTTGTTATTTGTAAACATCGAATAGTACTTGGTTTTACGGTAAAAATTCTGATATTTCCAATGAACATTCTCAGTGTAAGTGGCAAAAGAAATTTAAGTTTTTACGCACTAGGATTTTAACTATTTTATCACGAGGTTATCTTCATCTTTGGTTGTAAAAACATTGAAATCCTTAAATGTTCATAAAGTAGTTTTGTTTGATGACTTTTTCTTCTATGTCCCTTCAGCGTGTTGGCCTGTCCTTTGTAGCTCTTAATAACTTGTTTTTACATCTCTCCCAAAACTTTGTCACCCATTCATTGAAGCTCAACAGGTAAGTCGTGCGTTGTTTCCCTCTGGTCCGCTTACCTTCAATTTGTCCCGTGAGTGTCAAATTCTCTAATTCCTCTTTCCTCAATATGTGTCCCAGAAATTTAAACAGTCTCTTGATGTTAATCAGAAGTATCGTTTGTTTCCATTTTCTCTAAAACTTCGTCGTTGCTTATATTTGTGAGGGAATTGTCCAGCATTCACTGCTATATAGGAGGACTGATATTACATAACAGTTCTCTTTCTTTATTTTCTAGCAATATTTCTCCGTATCTTAATACTTTGCTTAGATTTTGGAAGGCATTTTTCACTATCAAAATGCGCCTTTGGATTTCCTTGTTATACTTTCCATCTCCTGTTAATAAACTTCCCAGATATCTAAATTGTTTCCCTTGTTTGATTTTGATATCTCCAATTTGTAATTTGCATGTTCGGCTGTCCCCTTTTGTTAGCAACCATGTATTCCGTCTTCTTGCAATTGATATTTAGTCCTTTCTTCTCATTTTCCTTCACTACCTTCTTGAAATTACTTTTTTTTTTTTGGTCTGCTATGTCATCTGTATATCTTAAGATTGGTTGCCAGTAATGAATCTTGGTGGGATTTCTAATTTTCAAAATGGACTTGCTGTAGAGATTAAAATCATCTGGTGATTTTAACACATCCTTGTCTTATACCCCTTTGTATTTTTGCATATTTACTGAACTCCTTTCCTCTCCATATGCAGGCAGTTGGCTGCCAGTAGAGTTTCTGGATTATTCTAATATCTTTTTTCTAGAAATTCATCGTTGCTCACTTGTTCAGTTCATGTATTCTCAGCATCCTTCTGTGGAACAACATTTCTCTTGCTTCAAATCTCTTCTTCATCGGTGAGGAAATTGTCCAACATTCACTGCTATATAGGAGGACTGATATTACATAACAGTTCACTACTCTTTTCTTTTCTTTTTCTAGCAATATTTCTGTATCTTAATACTTTGCTCAGCTTTTGGAAGGCATCTTTCACTATCCAATTGCGCCTTTGGATTTCCATTTTGCACTTTCCATCTCCTGTTAATAAACTTCCCTGATATCTAAATTGTTTCCCCTATTTGATTTAGTTATCTCCAATCTGTAATTTGCATGTTGGGCTGTCCCCTTTCAATAACAACCATGTAATCAGTCTTCTTGCAATTAGTCCTTTCTTCTCGCTTTCCTTCACTGCCTTCTGTAGGAGCAAATACCTGCACTAAATTATTTTGGCTTTCCAGGGGTTGAGGAGGCAAGAAATATCACGGTCAGTTCAAACCAAACAGCGAGACTATTTTGTCCGATTCGTACGCACCACGGTGTAAAGGTCAGCTGGAAAAAGAATGGCCACCCCATCAGACTGAGTTCACGAAAAGTTGTAAGTATTCTCCACGTGATCCTTTCTATCTTCCTTTCTCTTTTTTGTTAAATCATGTCATTCTACAATGGGAAGGGTTACTGAAAGAATCCGAGAAAAATGTTTTTAAGGAGAGAAGACAATAAAAAATTAGAATTCAAGAAGACAGAAATGACATTTAAATTCTTCTAGATTGTAGCTGGCAGGAAAGCAAGACGCTCAGTGAGAGATCCACAGACGACAAGTGTGAGAGAAGAAACTATTAAAATAGAACTTACGGTTACATTCAGTAATTTCATCAATAAAATGAGACCTAACTGCCAATCTAGTACTACGCTTAAATTTGTGAAGTCGAGGTACTAAAGAGGAATACCCATCAAAACAAATGTCATGAAAATATTTGTAAAAAATGTACTGGAAAACTAGGTTACAATGTTGGGAAAATGATTGAAGCCGAGATGCCAGGTTAGGACTGATAACAGTGCAGATTATTTGGTTTTTGTTTTATAATTAATCGAAAAGGTTTTCACCTGTTTCATTGTCGATATCACAGACAGAAATCTTGACTTACAAGGCGAACAAGATGCATATATTTGGGTATTTTTAAATTATTTTTTTTAATCCGACACTGTATAGTGTTTACGCAGAATTGTTAGTGGCTAAGCGTGTTTGAGTTGACATTCCTGTTATTTTAAAACATTGAATTTAATATTAATTTGTCTAGAATTTGAGTAATCGTTTGTCAAGAAAAATATTTTTTCTGACAATATATATATATATAAGTTTTTTTTTTTTTCCATGGGGAAATCACTCCTTTATCCTTTAGGAATTAAGCCACGGGTGAAACCATAAGGAAAAACTCAACCCTACTTAAGGCATACTCATCATCTATCGCTTGGAACTTTCGAAGCCTACGTTTACTAACTTTATTTTCGTAACTCAAAATTGGTTGGTTCCGTTGATTCTGTTTAGCGGCATATCAAAACATTTATCGGTCATTTAATGCTGAACTCTAAATATTTTGGACTCAATCTTATGGCTTCAACTACAGATAAAATGTATTGTTAGTAATTCAACTATAAAGAGGTATTGTTGGCATTTTTTTATATAAAAAACATCCTGCTTAGTTTTATACTTTCAGTCTTGCTTTTGTTTGGGGGTTAACTATTTCCCATAGCCGAGACCCTAACAGGTGCTACCACCTCAGGTCAAGGTGGACCTTGGAACAACAGCAATTAAAAAGTGGTTCCACGCTCCTCGAAATCTCCAGACCAGAGGCCTTGCGGTTGGCTATAGTTTACTGTCATACCGATGTCATACTACCGAAAAATTGGTCAACTGATTTCATACTCATGCCCTTAAAAAGGCATGAACCCATTTTTCTCTCGCCAGATAAGAGCTATATATCAGGTCATCCCATAAGTTCTGTCCGAATTTTAACTTAAAATGAACGAAATTTAAAGAGTATTTTAGAATGTCTAATGGTGCTGAACATTATTTTTATGTTTAGATGCATTTAAACTGATCAAATTTTATATCAGAGAACAATAAAACAAAATTTTGTTTGATTAAAACCCTGCTAACATGGAAGTACCCAAGAATCATTTGAGGCACATAATGCTTTATGAGTTCAAGAAAGGAAACACAGCAGCCGAAGCGGATAGAAACATGGAGAGGAATATGTGAATGAAAGAACTTTCAGAAGATGGTTTGCAAAATTCAGAGGTGGAGATTTCACCCTTGAAGATGAAGATCGAACCGGACGTCCAGTTGAGTTTGATGAAAAGCTTCTTGAAGCAGCCCTTGAAGAAAATCCTGCTTTATCAGTTGAGGAATTGGCAGTGGTTCTCAGTTCAAACCATATAACTGTTCATCGTCACCTTCAACAACTTGGAAAAGTTCCTAAACTTGGAAAATGGGTGCCTCATGAATTGTCTGAAAACAACCTCAAATCCCGAATTGATATCTGCTCTTCTCTCCATTCTCGCCAACTTGTTTCACCTTTTTTGGATAGACTTGTGACTGACGACGAAAAATGGATCTTTTATCGAAATGTTAAGCGTCGTAAACAGTGGCTTGGTAAAGGGGAAGGACCCCAGCCACAGCCGAGAAGGGAACTTCCTGGGCAAAACGTTTTTCTTTCAATTTGGTGGGATCGCCAAGGAATAATCCACTTTGAATTCTTACCACCTAATGCAACAATTAATGCTCAAATACACTGTCAACAATTAGAGCGTTTGAACCAAGCTTTGAGGAAAAAAACCCTGCTCCAGTGAATCGAAAAGAGGTTAGGTTTCATCAGGACTATGTGCGACCGCACACAGCAAGAATCACGTCATAAAAGATCGAAGAACTTGGTTGGGAGAAAATTCCTCATCGACCTTATTCTCCCGATCTTGCTCCTTCAGACAACCATTTGTTTTGTAGCTTACAGAATCATTTGGAAAAAAACGGCTTTTGTAAGACAGGAAGAGGTTAAAACTGACATTTGTGAGTTCTTCGAATCAAAGGCAAAAGAATTTTACAGTAATAGAATTAGTAAGCTTGTTAATAAATGGAAGGAAGTCATAGATAATCAGGGAAAATACATTGTTGATTGAATCTGTAATTAAATGTAACATTTAGTCACTTGTTTTCTTTATTCAAAATTCGGACAGAACATATGGGATGACCTGATACTTTAGAAGGTAACCAGTCTAAGAGAAGAAAACATTGAATTCAAACGAATTTGGCGTACTGACATTGATGGCTGAGTGGTGACGCTTCAAATTATCAGCTTTTAATTGCTTCTGAAGGATACAATCAATAATACCTACGGCTCTTCCGAAGAGATTAATCTTTGGTGTTTTAATGGTGATTGGTCGTCGTGAGGGCTCAAATTAAACCAACACACGATTGGCATTGAAATGTGTATATCTGGAGTCGATTTGCCGAGTTATCACAACATTTGATACAGACACATTGTCCGAATTTGTCAACCCTTGTAAAGATCACAAATCCGTTCCAACAACTGGGGGAATAATTGAAAAGGAGCAGATGACAACAAAGCTCTCTGGCAGGCTGGGTAACAATGAGGGTTAGCTGCACACATGCATTTTCGATGAAGGGAACGGCTCGGCAACTTTTCGATATAACTTAGACAATATGCATATCACTAAGACAATTCATTTAAGAAATACAGTGTCACCCGGATATAAGAGAGTTGTCGGGACCGGAGAACAAGTCTCTTATATCCGGGTTTGGTCTATTTTATATACATTAACACAGGCTCTAATTTGGAACCAGAGAAAATCTCTTATATCCGGGTTTCTCTTATATTCGGGTTATGTTTTTCTGTCGGAATTTTTGAAATGAGGAATTATTACTGATGTGTTTTCCCCCCTATTCGAACCAACAGTCTCATCTTTGTCGTTATGCTCACAGAGTTTCAGCCCTTTAGCCTCGACATCAGAAATAGGGTCGAAACGTGGCTAGCATAACAATCAAGATGATTTTTCTAGCCTGAATAGAGACAAGTATTTTCTTTTCGAGATAAACATAAGTTTCTCGCTTGTCGATAATTCATTTGCTATTAATGAAAGTAGAACCTTATTTCTTTTAGATATTTCCAAAAGCCAACCAAGTCTGGCATGATACCATAGTTACAGAGTATTGAATGAGAATCGAACGAATTTTTTCAAGACTGATAACCAGTGCTCTACAGCAAGAACCATGCAGATAATATTTTGCCAAATCAATTTGATATATTCGTGAAAGATAATATTAAATTTAGGGAAAATTGTAACACTCTTCAGTCTGCTATGTGTCATTCATTCTTCTCGAGATAGTCTTATGCTGGTGTAAAGCAAATAAAGAAATATAAACTGTAAAAGAATTGTGTAGTAATGCATGTTACCTGCCTTCTAATGGATGGTGAAAAAAACAAAAAAAAAACGGAATTATGGGTAGAAAAGTTGTTATATGCGTCAATAAGAAATTAGTTGGTGAGAGGCTTCATTAAGTCGCAAGCAACTTCACGGACTGACGGACGGAGCTCAGTTAAAGAAAAAAAAAAAAAAAAAAAAAAAAGAAAAAAAAAAAAAAAAAAAAAAAAAAAAAAAAAAAAAAAAAAAAAAAAAAAAAAAAAAAAAAAAAAAAAAAAAAAAAAAAAAAAAAAAAAAAAAAAAAAAAAAAAGAAAAAAGAAAAGAAAAAAAAGAAAAGAAAAAAAAAAAAGAAAAGTAAGAAGAGTGTGGAAAAGAAAAGAAAAACATTGTTTTGCCCCCTAAAATAACAAACTAAGTTCACCTTTTTTCTTTCTTTTTTTTTAACTGATATTCTATGAAAGGCCCAATAGCTACTCGAGGTAGAGGATTGCTGAAGTAGGTTACTGTATGAGGCGATAAGAGTAAGCGGTAAGAAATGCAGTTTATGATATGCAAGATACTTGGGAGACGGTTCCACAAAATAGCAGTTCATGGAAAGAATCGGTTTGGGTGGAATTTTTTTAATTAATGTAATACGAAGGGAAATGAGGATGATTCGACTTGGTGGCATAGCATGGATCTTAGCTGTGAAGGTCTGAACAGGTGGAACTATGGAATGGAGCTAGTCAGAACATTTTTCACGTAAATAACGATAGAGAATTGAGAAGACGGAGGCGTTTCGTCTGTGGGAAAAGAGGTTATAAGGTGAAAAATAATTCATCCTCCACAAAGCGACGTAGACGCGATTGAACTTTATCAAAACTGAAAAGCGAAAACTGCGCAGCAGAATTTCAGTTTTCGATCTTGTCTTCGGAGTTTTATGCCTTATTCTCATCTTGTCAAGCCTCCGATTCTGTTGGATGAATAGAATTATTTGGTAAGTTTTTCGAATGAAAGAAAACCCTGTTTCGATAAATTCCATTTGGATGGTATACTGAATGTATATCGAATCATTTTCTTTCTGAAGTACTTGGTCGGTCGAGGAAATTAAAGTCATTTCGTTTTTCCTTTTTCTCTCACTTCAGGCTGCAGGGCGGACATTGAAATTCGAATCCGTTATTTCAGTAGATGAAGGCAAGTACACATGTATAGCTGTGGGACCAAATGGTTGCTCTGCCAAAGCAGATGTTTGGCTGACATATGAAAGGAAAGATATACCTCAAGGTGAGAACACCCCCCCCCATCCTTACCCACTACCAACACCCCAACTATCCTGGTTCTGAAATGAAGTTTATTTAAAATTAAATCAGAGAATATTTGTAATTGTCTCTTGGAGAATTAACAAGTTATTTTGAAAATATTACCTGTTAAATATGTTCAAATTCTTTTACAGTTTTCTGATGTGTTTAAAAGAGCAGGGATGTCTGTCATAGTATTGAAAGAATTTGTCATTACATAGTACAAACAATTTTGTTTAATGAAACGGCATTATCAATAAATAGTAAACTCGTTTTATAGAAAATAAAATCATTTCACCTCTAGGCAAGTAGATAATGGTCAAGTTGAGATCATAGTCCTTATCAAGAAGGTAGCGAGCAATCCACTTTTTACATCATACACAGATTTTTATTTGTATTCTTGTATTCAAAGCCAACTTCCAGAAATGTTTTGCGATGTGTTTGTGGTGTTTTTTTAAATATCTTTTTAATATCTTAATAGTTATTTTGAAAATATTTAAACTTGTACAAATTCTTTTTCGGATTAAAAAGAACAAGGACGACCACCTACCCTTTGTATTGAAAACGATGTCATTGAATAGTACAATTTTATTTAATGAAACGAATAGTAAACTAGTTTTATAGATTTTTAAAAACGAAATCATTCCCCAAAGCAAAGCGATAACGGTCATGAAGATCAAAGTCCCGATTAAGAAAGAGAAGTCAATCCATTTTTCACATCACAAATTTTTTGATTTATTTGTATCCATAGCCAAGTTTCAAGAGATTTTGCTTTACGATTTGCACATTTCTTTTCATATCTTTATTGTGACGAAATGTAAGCTGAAAAAGTTTTTACTTACATTATTCCTTTTTTTCCCCCAGAATGTGGTAGGAATAATTTCCATATGCATGACCACGGACTCTTGGCCAAAATCAAGAGTGGTCACCGTGCGGCCTTGGGTTCAGCTCCATGGTTTGTCAATTTTGTTGAAGCAGCCGTCGTAAGTGTGGTTTCTCCATTTTGATTTCCTATATAGGATTCTGATTTTGTTTATTTGCAAGTCGACGAAACAATAGTTTGCAACATGTCCTCTTTATAAATATTTTTATAGGAATCTTTCTTTTTGCTGTTAGAAAAGTTAATGAAGGATCCAGAAAGTGACTGCTCTTGTGTTAAAGAGTTTCATATTTCTTTCCTGTGGGTCGATACTGGAACCTCGTTTGAATGCTATTCGCCCCACCCCCACCGCTGAGCGTACTACAGATCGTCTAATGTTTAAATTCATTAAAAGTGAATGTGTACATGTAGCACAACATATACTAAAAGCAAAGACGGAAACCAAATATTTATTTTATTAACAAAATCAAAAAATTGGTTTCAATTTCCAATCAGTCTTGCGCACATAGACGAGTAAACTGAATTTTGATTACGAAAAAATTTCTCAGCCGCACAAATCTCATTAATCATAAATGAATTAAATATGAAACTAAACTCTCATATATTTAGACAGCTTTTTTCCCCACATGTGCCTAATGAGCAAATAAAGGTACAAATGACATGTGCACGTAGGATTGTTATTTAGACTGTCATGTAAAACTTGTGTTGTTGTCAACTTTGCACAGGGCCGACAGTGGTACAAACCTCCATGGAAAAAAGTCTGTCCAACTTTTCTTTGAGTGATTCAGGAGGATTGAAGGGCCAATTGTTTATCAAAGTCAAAACGAGGCTGTCTGTTACGAGACATTTTAACTTTCAAACAAAAAACAACAACAAAAAAAAAACAACAACAAACAGCAACAAAAAACAAAAACAAAAACAACACCACCACCACACAAATAATCAAAAGTGACCTTTTTATATTCGTTCGATAACTCGGTAAAGGTAATTTAATTTTTCAGAGATGTTTGGTGGTTAGAGTCGCCTATTTTTTTTGTTATTTACACGGTTATGTAAAACTCGTATTATTGTGATGCGACCCACTTTGCTATGGGTCGACGAATGATACGCGCCTCTGTATGAAAAGAAAATATTTAAATTTTACTTTTCGCATCGGCCACAAATATTCAAGCACTCATCACCATAGAGTTGCACTTCAGCGAGATTAAATATCAAAAGTATTTGGTTTAGAGCAGTGATCACCAACCGGTCGTCCATGGACCCACTTTTTGATGGTGCGCAGAAAAATTGGGACATTAATTCAATTTTTATGAAGCTTCAGATTAAAAAAATGAAGAGTAACAAAACGTATTATGGATGGTATATATGTTGAAGACCTTATGTAATCTTGAAATAAACACGAGTACACAAGAACACAAATGTGACATCATCCAGCCTAACAGGACTTGCAAAATTAACAGGAGATAACTGACATCCATTAAAAACATGGCACATGGAACTAGAACAATCTACCCCAGTGAGCGAAATAAAGTGTTCAGTTCGACATTCCAAACACCTGAAGAAGGCCGGAGCGTACAACGGCCGAAACGTTATAATAAATATGGCGACAAAGATGAGGACAATAGTCCGAATAATGTACATAATACCTCATCTCAGAAATAGAGAGATACTGAAAGGCCGAAACGTTGTAATAAATATGGCGACAAAGATGAGGACAATAGTCCGAATAATGTACATAATACCTCATCTCAGAAATAGAGACAGATACTGAAAGGCCGAAACTTTGAAATAAATATGGCGACAAAGATGAGGACAATAGTCCGAATAATGTACATAATACCTCATCTCAGAAATAGAGACAGATACTGAAAGGCCGAAACTTTGAAATAAATATGGCGACAAAGATGAGGACAATAGTCCGAATAATGTACATAATACCTCATCTCAGAAATAGAGACAGATACTGAAAGGCCGAAACTTTGAAATAAATATGGCGACAAAGATGAGGACAAAAGTCCGAATAATGTACATAATACCTCATCTCAGAAATAGAGACAGATACTGAAAGGCCGAAACTTTGAAATAAATATGACAAAGATGAGGACAATAGTCCGAATAATGTATACCTCATCTCAGAAATAGAGACAGATACTGAAAGGCCGAAACGTTGTAAATAAATATGGCGACAAAGATGAGGACAATAGTCCGAATAATGTACATAATACCTCATCTCAGAAATAGAGACAGATACTGAAAGGCCGAAACTTTGAAATAAATATGGCGACAAAGATGAGGACAATAGTCCGAATAATGTACATAATACGTCATCTCAGAAATAGAGACAGATACTGAAAGGCCGAAACTTTGAAATAAATATGGCGACAAAGATGAGGACAATAGTCCGAATAATGTACATAATACGTCATCTCAGAAATAGAGACAGATACTGAAAGGCCGAAACTTTGAAATAAATATGGCGACAAAGATGAGGACAATAGTCCGAATAATGTACATAATACCTCATCTCAGAAATAGAGACAGATACTGAAAGGCCGAAACTTTGAAATAAATATGGCGACAAAGATGAGGACAATAGTCCGAATAATGTACATAATACCTCATCTCAGAAATAGAGACAGATACTGAAAGGCCGAAACTTTGAAATAAATATGGCGACAAAGATGAGGACAATAGTCCGAATAATGTACATAATACGTCATCTCAGAAATAGAGACAGATACTGAAAGGCCGAAACGTTGTAATAAATATGGCGACAAAGATGAGGACAATAGTCCGAATAATGTACATAATACGTCATCTCAGAAATAGAGACAGATACTGAAAGGCCGAAACTTTGAAATAAATATGGCGACAAAGATGAGGACAATAGTCCGAATAATGTACATAATACCCTCATCTCAGAAATAGAGATACTGAAAGGCCGAAACTTTGAAATAAATATGGCGACAAAGATGAGGACAATAGTCCGAATAATGTACATAATACGTCATCTCAGAAATAGAGACAGATACTGAAAGGCCGAAACGTTGTAATAAATATGGCGACAAAGATGAGGACAATAGTCCGAATAATGTACATAATACCTCATCTCAGAAATAGAGACAGATACTGAAAGGCCGAAACGTTGTAATAAATATGGCGACAAAGATGAGGACAATAGTCCGAATAATGTACATAATACGTCATCTCAGAAATAGAGACAGATACTGAAAGGCCGAAACTTTGTAAATAAATATGGCGACAAAGATGAGGACAATAGTCCGAATAATGTACATAATACGTCATCTCAGAAATAGAGACAGATACTGAAAGGCCGAAACGTTGTAATAAATATGGCGACAAAGATGAGGACAATAGTCCGAATAATGTGTAATACATAGATAAAGGCGAAACTTTGAATCTCAGAAATAGAGACAGATACTGAAAGGCCGAAACAATAAATATGGCGACAAAGATGAGGACAATAGTCCGAATAATGTACATAATACGTCATCTCAGAAATAGAGACAGATACTGAAAGGCCGAAACGTTGTAATAAATATGGCGACAAAGATGAGGACAATAGTCCGAATAATGTACATAATACGTCATCTCAGAAATAGAGACAGATACTGAAAGGCCGAAACGTTGTAATAAATATGGCGACAAAGATGAGGACAATAGTCCGAATAATGTACATAATACGTCATCTCAGAAATAGAGACAGATACTGAAAGGCCGAAACGTTGTAATAAATATGGCGACAAAGATGAGGACAATAGTCCGAATAATGTACATAATACGTCATCTCAGAAATAGAGACAGATACTGAAAGGCCGAAACGTTGTAATAAATATGGCGACAAAGATGAGGACAATAGTCCGAATAATGTACATAATACGTCATCTCAGAAATAGAGACAGATACTGAAAGGCCGAAACGTTGTAATAAATATGGCGACAAAGATGAGGACAATAGTCCGAATAATGTACATAATACGTCATCTCAGAAATAGAGACAGATACTGAAAGGCCGAAACTTTGAAATAAATATGGCGACAAAGATGAGGACAATAGTCCGAATAATGTACATACCTCATCTCATGAAATAGAGACAGATACTGAAAGGCCGAAACTTTGTAATAAATATGGCGACAAAGATGAGGACAATAGTCCGAATAATGTACATAATACGTCATCTCAGAAATAGAGACAGATACTGAAAGGCCGAAACGTTGTAATAAATATGGCGACAAAGATGAGGACAATAGTCCGAATAATGTACATAATACGTCATCTCAGAAATAGAGACAGATACTGAAAGGCCGAAACGTTGTAATAAATATGGCGACAAAGATGAGGACAATAGTCCGAATAATGTACATAATACGTCATCTCAGAAATAGAGACAGATACTGAAAGGCCGAAACTTTGAAATAAATATGGCGACAAAGATGAGGACAATAGTCCGAATAATGTACATAATACGTCATCTCAGAAATAGAGACAGATACTGAAAGGCCGAAACGTTGTAATAAATATGGCGACAAAGATGAGGACAATAGTCCGAATAATGTACATAATACGTCATCTCAGAAATAGAGACAGATACTGAAAGGCCGAAACGTTGTAATAAATATGGCGACAAAGATGAGGACAATAGTCCGAATAATGTACATAATACGTCATCTCAGAAATAGAGACAGATACTGAAAGGCCGAAACGTTGTAATAAATATGGCGACAAAGATGAGGACAATAGTCCGAATAATGTACATAATACGTCATCTCAGAAATAGAGACAGATACTGAAAGGCCGAAACGTTGTAATAAATATGGCGACAAAGATGAGGACAATAGTCCGAATAATGTACATAATACGTCATCTCAGAAATAGAGACAGATACTGAAAGGCCGAAACGTTGTAATAAATATGGCGACAAAGATGAGGACAATAGTCATCTCATCTCAGAAATAGAGACAGATACTGAAAGGCCGAAACGTTGTAATAAATATGGCGACAAAGATGAGGACAATAGTCCGAATAATGTACATAATACGTCATCTCAGAAATAGAGACAGATACTGAAAGGCCGAAACGTTGTAATAAATATGGCGACAAAGATGAGGACAATAGTCCGAATAATGTACATAATACGTCATCTCAGAAATAGAGACAGATACTGAAAGGCCGAAACGTTGTAATAAATATGGCGACAAAGATGAGGACAATAGTCCGAATAATGTACATAATACGTCATCTCAGAAATAGAGACAGATACTGAAAGGCCGAAACGTTGTAATAAATATGGCGACAAAGATGAGGACAATAGTCCGAATAATGTACATAATACGTCATCTCAGAAATAGAGACAGATACTGAAAGGCCGAAACGTTGTAATAAATATGGCGACAAAGATGAGGACAATAGTCCGAATAATGTACATAATACGTCATCTCAGAAATAGAGACAGATACTGAAAGGCCGAAACGTTGTAATAAATATGGCGACAAAGATGAGGACAATAGTCCGAATAATGTACATCTCAAAATAGAGACAGATACAAAGGCCGAAACTAAATATGGCGACAAAGATGAGGACAAATAATGTATCATCTCAGAAATAGAGACAGATACTGAAAGGCCGAAACGTTGTAATAAATATGGCGACAAAGATGAGGACAATAGTCCGAATAATGTACATAATACGTCATCTCAGAAATAGAGACAGATACTGAAAGGCCGAAACGTTGTAATAAATATGGCGACAAAGATGAGGACAATAGTCCGAATAATGTACATAATACGTCATCTCAGAAATAGAGACAGATACTGAAAGGCCGAAACGTTGTAATAAATATGGCGACAAAGATGAGGACAATAGTCCGAATAATGTACATAATACGTCATCTCAGAAATAGAGAAGATAGAAAGGCCGAAACGTTGTAATAAATATGGCGACAAAGATGAGGACAATAGTCCGAATAATGTACATAATACGCATCTCAGAGATACTGAAAGGCCGAAACGTTGTAATAAATATGGCGACAAAGATGAGGACAATAGTCCGAATAATGTACATAATACGTCATCTCAGAAATAGAGACAGATACTGAAAGGCCGAAACGTTGTAATAAATATGGCGACAAAGATGAGGACAATAGTCCGAATAATGTACATAATACGTCATCTCAGAAATAGAGACAGATACTGAAAGGCCGAAACGTTGTAATAAATATGGCGACAAAGATGAGGACAATAGTCCGAATAATGTACATAATACGTCATCTCAGAAATAGAGACAGATACTGAAAGGCCGAAACGTTGTAATAAATATGGCGACAAAGATGAGGACAATAATGTCCGTCATCTCATAATGTTGTAATAAATATGGCGACAAAGATGAGGACAATAGTCCGAATAATGTACATAATACGTCATCTCAGAAATAGAGACAGATTTAAATTTTCAATTTGTTTTATTTAAATAATTACACTGTGTTACCTTCAATAAGTGCATTTCATATTAATAAAATAAAAGTTTTCTGATTATTATATAAATGTATTTACCTGGGTTTTTTTTTCTTTTAAATTTATATTAGTGGCCCACCAAATTTAAAATTATACATTTAGTGATCCATGTTCAAATGGTTAGCGAACGCTGGTTTAGAGAATTTTATACTTGATATTTAGGGAGTTTGTAATGAAGCCAGGATCAGCAAAGAAGCCTTGTCGTGAGTGATTCTCATTGGACCACCCAATTAATATGATTATATTTTCCACATTTTTATAGTTTGAATGTTTTCGGGATATAATTGCACTTTTAAGCATATTTGAAAATGTGTCTCATTGCAGACGAAGTCGTTTTGTGGCGGGACGTTAATTAGCCGAACTCATATCGTGACTGCTGCTCACTGCATCAAACTGTTTAAAGGACCATTCGACAACGCCAATGTTCATGTCTATCTGGGCACCCAAAATTGTTCGGGCCTCGGTGGCATCAAGGTGCAAATAAAGAAAGTCACAGTGCACCCACGATATAACCAATCGTCACTTTTTGACAGCGACATCGCTATTGTTGAGTAAGTATCATTGCCATCCTTGCTTGAAATATTGATGCTACCACATCTGGTTTAGTGCTCCTGCTATAGATTTAGAGATTCTGGATAAAATACAAATCTGCAATGTTATTGGTCCTGATCTGGCATTTCGGTTTCATTAACTTTCCCACCGCTGTAACGTAGGCTTCCCTTTGCCTTTTCTATAAATACATTCATGGTAAGTCCCTCTGATGAGCTCTTCGCTATAGTACCTAGACTTTACAAATTTAAGCGCAGTACTAGATTGGCGACAATACATCATCACTTTACAATTGAAATGGCTAGATGTAACCGTAAGTTCTATGCCAGAAGTTTCTTCTCTCGCATTTCTCGTTTGTAGAACTCTTCCGGCTTCTTGCTTCTCAATCAACTTTGATCTTCAAAAATTTAAATGTAATGTCAATCGTAATTCTTCTTTTATTGTCTTTTCTCCTTAAAAGTATATTTTTCTCATATTCTCTAACTCAGTAACCCCTTGCATCTTAGTGGCTTTATTACCTTGCTCGGGGTAAAATAATTAACCAAAAATAACCACTTGTTCGTTAACAGCAGATCGAATGACAGAAGGTAACAAAAAAAAAAGTTATCACTGTCCTCACAGACTATAGTGAACCAAAACTTGGAGAGCCGAGTTAAAAGGAAAATAACTGAGACATCCGGAAGAGGCATGGTATGTGGAACTGGAACAATCTACCCCGGTCAACGAAATAAAGGGTTCGGTTCGAAATTCGGAGCGTACAACGGCCGAAACGTTGTGAATATGGCAATGAAGATGAGGATAACATTTCGAATAATATAAATGATGCAAGTAATTGTAATACCTCATCTCAGAGATATAGACAGATACAGAAACTCATTTTCCGTCTTTTTTTTTTCTTGAAACAGTCTTTAAATGTTTTATACAAGTCTTATAAGCGGAAAAAGATCTAAATAACATAAGTGAACACCCAGAAAAACGTTTAAAATATTTACATCAGTTCATGTATGCGAGGTAGGTAGTCATCAGCTCCTGTTCAATGGTATTGTAGAGTTAGACGTCTGAAAGAATCAGTGTATATGCTAGGCTATGAGGAGCACCTTAGTAGGCCTAGCATAGAAACAATATGGGAGCCACTAACAATGAAAGAAATAAGTTTGCAGCAGCAGCTGTCGAAACATGACATACAACAGCAGTTAGAGCACTAATCAGCAGGAAGTTTAGGTTTAAGGTTCCATGTTCACTACAGCAAATTGTTATACGGATTAAAGCGTTGGTCCGGGAATTTAGTGTTCAATCCCTGGGTCGGGCAGTGTCTACTTGGACTCAGTGGAAACAGAGCGGACAATAAGTGAATAATACTAAAAATAAAAACTAGACGAGATATCCCTAGACATAAGCAGTGGGACGAGAACAATCTACAACCCTGGTCGATTAAATAAAGCGTTCAGTTCAACATTCCCTGTAGAATTCAGTTCATCAGAACGAATTACGTAAAAGACCGATAAAACCCGGAAAAGCAATTGATGCGGCGGAAGAAGAATCGACAAACGACAATCTGGGTTGGATGACGCGGATAAACTATTATCACAAACTAGAACATAATCTGGAAAATAAATCCCAAAATTCTCTCGGATTTCCATAGACAAGCCGAACAAGAACGGATTTCATAATCATAAATAAGATAAAAAAAAAAAAAAAAGATCGCAGAGTGAACATAAAATCGTAAGAAATCTCAAAGATACCAGGACCTTGCTGGAGAGCTGAGACAAGTGTGAAATATGATGGTTAGAGACCAATTCCAATTACCTGAAAAAAGTCGGAGCGTACAACGGCCGAAACGTTGTGAATATGGTAATGAAGATGAGGATAACAGTCCAAATAATGTAAATAATGCAAGTAAACATACCTCATCTCAGAGATATAGAGGCCGAAACGTTTTGAATATGGCAATGAAGGGGAGGATAACAGTCCGAATAATGTAAATAATGCAAATAATGAGTTTTATGATGTATTTCATGGCAATAACGATTTTAGGCAAATGAAACAACTCAATTCAATTGCATAGTCATAGATTAGGGCTGAATAGACAAATTTAGTTCTCGGTTCCAGAAAAATGCTGAGGGGCTGGAGATCCCAGGCCATTTCTATAATGCTGTGGATTAAATGTTAGGCGAGAAATAGTCTATATTTTCATTTATTGAAATTTTACTGGGTCGATCTTGTCTTTAGTTATTAAGTATAATAGACCAACTTGAATCACATAACAGAGCAACTTGTCACGTGATATTTCAACGTTTAAGTGTTTAGTGTAGTGGGGAGGAATCATTAATTGCCAGATTGTGTGTTTTTTTGTTTGTTTGTTTTTTTGTTTTTTTTTCGCCAAAATATATGAACAATTTGTCTAAAATTAAAACTACGTTCGAATCCCAGAAACAGCGGTTTTCATCTGTCGGGTCACTCACTAGATATACACCCATCCCCTTCTAGTGTCAATTTAAAATGACATCTTTTTGCCATAGGCTAATCACTTCGCTTAAAGTTCATATTTTCAGCAAAAGGGGGCCTTCGAACCCGCATACAAACGGAGTGTCAATAGGACGGTTTTTCCCATGACACCGCTTTTATTTTAACTACTTTCACTCCCTCGGCAATGTTTGTTTTAAAAAGCGATGATTTAGAATTGCGGCAAAATCTAAACGTATGATAAAAGGGAATTTATACATTTTCTTTGTTCTTGAGAATTGACAACAAAAATAAGAAACACTATTATATTGTTTATTTACTCTATTTATTTACTGTGTTGCTTATTAGAATGGTTGGCAAAAAGATCGGCTAATTTCCAATTGATTCAATTTTTATAAAATGGTAAATAATAAGGATTTCCTTAGAAGTGGTTCACAGATTTTAATAATTTAGTAAATGTTTATAAATTAACGAATACAAAATTGTTTTCATATTTATTTATTTACTTTGAATACTGTTGCCATATATGGTCTGGTGCCCCCACTGTTCATCTCGAAGTCCTCGACAATATCCAGAGACTGATATGCAATGTGATAGGTCCTGATTTGGCATCTCGTCTATAGTCACTTCCTCACAGACGTGCAGTAGCTTCCCTTTGTCTTTTCTACAAATATTTTCATGCTGACTGCTCTGACGAGCTACTTTCACTGGTACCCCAACTGCAAGAATTTAAGGTTGGCATCTCGGTCCCACCTTTTCACCGTCGAAACAGTTAAAAATGTAACCGTCTTTTCTATTCCAACAGCTTTCCCCAGTAGAACACCCTTCCTCTTTCCTGATAGCTATATGTCAATATAGTATGTAATGTCAATCGATATTTTCCGATACCTTGATCACAATCCCAGTCCTTCTCTATATACTTTCCTCAAACTCCCCTCTTTACTCTTACTATCAGTAACCCCTTAAAGTGCTAGTGGCACACTCGCCTTGCTTGTCGTGAAAAAAAATTGGTAAATGATAAATATTGCCTTGCATTACTCTTGTATTAGTTTTTCGAATGTAAATATAAAATTATTCTTGTAAATATGTAATCTAGTAAATAAAGTGTTTAATATTTTTGTTGTAAATTCTCCAAGATAAAAAAAAAATGTATAAAATAACTTTCATCTTATGTTGAAGCTTTATTATATCATTGCTTTTTAAAACAAACATTGTCAAGGAGTGAAGGTAGTTAAAATAATATCGGTGTCAAGGGAAAAACCATCCTTTTGACACTCCATTTTTTTTGTGGGCACGAAATAACATATCTGCCCTATTACGTTTATTTGAGATGAAAACTTGGAAATTTTCACCTTACAAAATAATTGTTTCTAATTATAGTTTATCTATAAAGACAGCAGTTAAACTGACGCCAGGAATTTGATTTAAACATCTTGCTAAAAATATTTTTCTCCACTCTTTCAGGTTGCAAGAAAAGTTGTATTTCAACAAAATCATCCAGCCTCTCTGTTTGGTCGACAGTGCTGTTGTCGAAGAAGTTGCTTTTTATTCTGGCGTCTTCGGAACCGTTGTCGGTTGCGGGATGACATCCACTGGCTATCACCCACATCATCTGAACGAGGTGAAAGTCCCGTACGTCTCGAATGAGAGCTGCCGATCAACTCTTCATGTTGGTCATAACATCACTTCCAAAATGTTCTGCGCTGGTTCGATCCAGGCCCACCAGGGAGATTCATGCCAAGGAGATAGCGGCGGTCCGTATGCAGTGCAACTACCCAGCTCCTCCCGTTGGATACTCGTTGGAATAGTGTCTTGGGGATACAAATGCGACCAGAGCGACTCTTACGGTGTCTACACAAATGTCGGCCAATTCTTCGATTGGATTACTCGCATTATGTCGGAACCGTAATGTGAAGAGTCCACTTGACATGCATCCGCCCCCCTATTGACCCTTTTCTCCCAGGTCTACACTTTTGACCCTTTACGAGACATACCGGTTAAACAAAACAATCTATGCTTGTTGATTATTTTAGTTGACAGGAAAAGACAAGTGACAAAATAGAATGAAAATCGGAGAAAGAAAAACAAATAGGAAGAGTAATGTTAAAAAAAAAAAAAGAAAAAAAAAAGAAAAGCTCAACAATTATTTGTTAATTTCCATACCATCCGGACTATATTAATTACACTGGTCCAAAGAAAAAAAAAAATGAAATGTTGTCGAGACACCAAAACATCTTTTTTTTTTTTTAGCTAATTTGAGGGCGCTGAATCTGAAAATGACCTTACTTTTTCTTGGTTAGGTACCGTTTTTGCTGCGCAGAAATGCCTAATCTATGGAAAAAAGCATTTTTTCATTTGTTTTCTGTATACAGATCGATGGCAATATTTCTCAAAATCGTAGAATCCTCTCAATTCGTATTTAAACCAACAAATATTGTTCTGCTTATTGAGAAATACTATTTTTGCAATAACAATCAAACCCTAAGTCTTTAAAAATAACACGATTGAATATACCAAGACAAACAAATATTTTCATCAAATCATTTAATAAAATTAACATCAGAAATAAAACCTTCGTGAACATAAGAACTATGGTAAATATTTTATCTTTCTGGATTGTCTGTCATGTTCAATGTTATTTAAATCCCTTTTGCTACTCCAGCAGTATCATGTACAATGGAATAGGTGCCTTTAAATGGGTTGTCTTCAGTTGGAGTTTCTTTCCAAATGTAAAAACAAATGCTCACAACGTACTTGGTTTCCTTCCGTAGTGAGGAGATAAGTTTATGAATATCAAACAGAAGATTTTAGGTTTTTTTAATGTCACCTTAATTATCAGGTTTACTAAAGTGTATTACTGATAATTTTTATCGGTTAATTTGAATTTTGTCGATAATTTTGAAAAAATCGGCACTTTTATTTTAAAATTTTTGACTCAAAACATTTTTCTTATAAAAATAGTTTATTTCAAATGGCTGACATAAATTGCTCGGCCTACCTGAAAATTGATCGGTTTCTACGACATTTATTAACTAAATTTTGCGATCAGCCAAGATCGTAAATTGATCTTTTTTCCAAAAATGAGCAATTTCAGTACCGTAAAATTGGTAGCTAACCATGGAAAACTAAGGTCATTTTCGAAATCAACACCCTCAAATTATCTAAAAAACGTGTTTTGCTTCTTGACAACCCAAATCGTGATGACCAGTGTTATTTATGAACAGAGTTTTGTTTTGGAGAAAAATGTGTTTGTGTTGTAAGCTGTCCTAAGCTTTGTTTTGTTTTATTAAATTAAGTCCCATTGAAAAGAAAATCTTATTAAATCTATTAATCCGTTTTGTTAATAACGGTTGATTAATCTTAGCAGAGAGAGTTATTTGAATTTCGTCAGAAGTGAAAAAATTGTGAAGCGTTTTCGCCTCATTTTAAGGAAAGAAAATGGCGAGCAAAGAAAAACCGGAATCGATTCTTTCAGTTTCTTCAACAATAAAATTCTATTTCTCTTCTCGATTGAACATTTTGTCTTCTTACTGCTGGGATCGGTGAACAGACAAGATAACTATGGCTTTGAGTCAGCTTTTTATAGTGTCAGTATAAAGATATAACAACATAAACTATTTTGAATCAAAACAAAAAACTGAACGCTCATACAAAAGGACAAATGCGGAGGGTTTTTTATGCTTTTTCCTAATGTTCAACATGAAAAAGAAATCTAAATTCTTATCAAATGAACTCAACCTTTCTCAGAATTAAAAAAAAAAAGAAAAATGAGATAAATTAAGAAAAAATTACAGTAAAAGAAAATAAAAATGTTCGTTTTTCTGAATATGCATTCAACTGAAACATAAAAGGAACAGTTAAACGTATACATTGCTTGTCTAGCAAAAAGAACAAAAAGATATAATGGCTGTGTGTGCGTGAAATGTTTGTTAGACTGAAAGTGAGTGTCAGATGGTTTCAACTTTGTCTTGAAGAGACAAACCATCGATAACATTTGTAATGTAATATTTTGTCCAAATACATTGACGTCTCGCCGCTTCTTCAGTTTGTCTGGTTAAAAGGCGAGAAAATTGTTATACGAATTTGACTTGCATGCATTTCCTTTGTCTTTTTTTTCTCTGTCACTTTCATAAACGAGTATCCTTACGTTTTTGTGTCGATGTACTACTCTTCAGCCTTCGTTAACTCAGCTACAAAGCGTTACTTTCTGTTTTTACCATTCTTCTAATGTAACCGTTTCGTTCCAAGTGCCGCCTTTTAAGACTTGTGTAGAAGGTCACGAAGAATTCACCAACAGAAATACAAAACAACAAAGATAAGGATGCTAATTTTTTTTTTAAAAAGTTCTTTTTTCATCTTCTTTTACCCTTGAATATATCAGCAAAAGAATGTCCCTACACGGGACACATAAACCTGGCCCCGTAAAAACTCAGTGTCAATTGGTGTAGTTATGTTCCTTCCATTTTAATATTGTGACCTTCCATGCCGTAGCTGATCATTGCTCTCCATGGCTTCCTTTTGTAATTTCCTAGACAATCTCTGAGGCTAAAGAGCACAAGCGATAGTGCTACTCAACCCATTGCTCTAGATTATATATATATATATATATATATATATATATATATATATATAGAGAGAGAGAGAGAGAGAGACATAGAGATAGAAACAGAGAGATCTATTCATGCCTTTGCCAAGGGTATTTGTGCAAAAAATGAACGCAACAGACTAGGGCGTGATTTGAACTGGCACTTACCGATTTCCACTACACTACCCGTACACTTCCGGTCTGTAGCACACCTTCATCAGTACAGTAACAGAGCAATCACTCAGGCGACAGAAAAGACTTTTCACTTCTAAAGTCTTCTTCATTCTCTTTCACTCTCAGTAGATTCCTTTGCATCTTAGTGGAGTTATCGTCTTCTTGGAGTAAATCGATTTAAAAATAATGGTCATGGCTCTCCGAACTTCTTATTCTTTGGAGTTCTGAGTAACTGTTGTCTTTTGGCAATCCTTCCCACCACCCATATCCATTCAAACAAGTTCGTCACTAAAATGGCTTGCTGCCTCCTCCCGACCATTTCACTACTAGCAAAGCGACGATAACGCATCTTAGACAGTTAGCAAGAGTGAAAGAATATGAGAAAAATATTGAGAAAGAGAAGAGAATAAAATAACAGGTTTAAAAAAGAAAAAGAAAAGACATGACGATTGATTTGCCTTCGATAGGTCCTGAGAGTGTCAAATTCTCCAAATAATCCTTATCACCTCAGTTGCAAAAAGATTTTTTTTTAGAAATTTACTGTTTGTATTGCATACTCGTAAACATGGTGAGCAAAACAGTAATAAGGTCAATTGTAACATTGTTAGAATTATTTGTTGTGAGATCAGCGCTAAACAGTCTTCCTTCACACATTGATTTCTTCATAAAGCCCAGATGTTTAAGTCGTATGACTATTAAATGACTAATCTTGCAGTCACCTATGAGTTAAATAGCAGGTCATATTGGGATTTATTGTCGCAGATGATTAACCAGTCACGGAGGAGGACAATTCTTTAATTCCAAAGCGTAGACAAGACAAGGTTTTCCCAAGAAGTTATGATTCAAACATGAACAAAATGAAAGCAATCTAAAGTACGTTCGGATAGCGTAATTGTTACCATCGCGAAAAGAAGTGAAATCGTCGAATAGAGTTCGAATCCCGGGTTCGTCTGTTACATTGACTTTCGCACATAAAGCACTGGAGAAAGGTATCAATTCCTCTCAACAGCAATAGGTTACATATCAACAGGGTCAGACTAAGCTCTTTTGGATAGCAACCAATTTAAGACAAGAAAAAGCATGGAGAAGCAAACACCACAACTGTCTTTCTCAAGCGTCGTGGCAGTTCACAGAATAAAATACGTCCTCAATGTAAGCATTATAAAAAATGAATACCAATCCATTGAGATTTTTTCTTTTCACCTTAAGCAGGGCAATAAAGCTACTAAGATGCAAGTGCTTAGTGAGTGTATATATATATATATATATATATATATATATATATATATATATATATAGTGTACCGACCAGATGTGGCGGCAATATTCGAAGCAACGACGAATGGTAGACTTATAAAAGTGTAAGAGATTCTGGCGAGAAAAATTGTCTAGCAGGACACAGTGAACTAGCTATCCTGGTGGCAAATCTAGCAATTGATTCAAAATATTTTTTCCACTTTATGTCAGCGGAAAATGTTACTCCGAGAAACTGCAATGAGTAACTCTCCTGAAGGCTAGCGTCAGCCGTGTTGATGGAAGGCAAAAATGTTCTTTAAGAGGATACAAAGAGAGAAGTTTCATTTTGAAGCATTTAAAATTAATATGCCACTTCTTGCACCAATTAACAACGGACTGGAGGTAATTTTTTTTTATATCAGCTGCCAATTTAACTTTATCGAGCTGATCAGACTTCTTATTAAAACAGGAGTAAATGTTTGTGTGCTCAGCATAGATATCAAGTTGAGAACTGACGAAATTTGGAAGGTCATTTAGGAAAATTACGAACAACGTAGGTCGAAGGATGAAGCCCTGGGGAACATTTCTGCAAAAAAATCTAGAACAATGACCATTCAAGACAACGTTCATTTCACCCTTTTGATGTGCTGAATCGGTACAAAAATTTGTCCAGAAATATCAATCTTTCGACTTGTGAAAACAGGATATTTTTGTGGGAGGTATCTTAATCTTTCTGTCAATCAATTTTACATTGTTTACAGAAAAGAAAATTTAAAACCTAGAAAAATATGTGTGGGGGACTTTAGTAAAGTAGGTTTATCTAAATAGCACACCGTGTTTTAGAGAAAGTCTTTTTTTTTTATCGCAACTCTCGGGTTGGAATATGTCTAAAGACCTGGGATTTATGAAAGAAGA